CGTTTAATTAACTAACATGTACAAGGTAAGTTTCGCAAATGTGATTAAATTTCAAAAGAATACGATCCGCTAAATTTAAGCAGAAAATAAGCAATGAAAATGAGTAAAGTATGTTGAGATGCCTCTCAGTTATTGAATCTCGTTAGAGGTGATATGATGAGAAGTTTGTAATTTATGTTCCCACATTTTGATCAAAATCTTTCTAACAAATTTTGTATTTATTTTCCAAAACATTGCAATGTATTTGAATCGAAACAAATTGAAGTTTAGTTTTTATAACTAACTAATCTTCCTCTAATTAATTACTTATTTTAATCTGTCCCAGGTTAGGCAGCCATTTGTGATAGTTTTCGATTCTATAGCAATTTAATCTGATTAATTTTCACTAATAGTTTATGTTGCCCTGTTAATATTATATTTATTACGAAATTCATTAAAATTGCTATTTAAAACATTGCATTCATTTTACAAACCTAGATTCGACATATAACACTTTACCTTCTTATTTTACTATTATATGTGGACGTGCGACTCTTAAAGGGCCGCAATTTCTTGATGGTCTGCTGTATTATCCTGTTATTGAAAATTTGATGGCGATTTCTACAATTATCTGACTTATTACTTTGTGTGATAATAGCAAGTCAGCATTTATTCCGAAGATTTACATTTTTTAGTCTTTGAGCTCATTAATGATTAGAATTATCTTTAATTTGTACATTCACAAATTCCGTGCGGTATTTCTTGTATCAATGTTCGTAAGATTACGGAAATATCTGCCACGCCGGTATTCAAGATGTCTTCCGTCCGGATGCCGAAGATGGGGTGTCCTCGCGTTGCTCCTGCTATTGTCATAAATTCTGACGGCCGCAGAATTTTTGTTATTTCTTCCCCGAAAATTCTAACTGTGTGATAATAAATTCTGTACTACGATTTATTCAATTAATGCAGTCCGCAAACGCGACTTTCTCTTCCTGCGCCGCGGATGAAGCGTCTACTCGCGACTGTCATTTTACTAACTTAAAACGTCATGTATGTCCAGTTACGAAACTATTCTATATTAATTCCCCACGTACGAAGTCTATTTTACATGAAACCCCAAAATCACAAATTACAACGCAAGCAAAGAATGATACCCTCAAATTAAGAAAATATATTCTACACATAAACAAATCACACGATTCACGTAAGTTTCCCGTTTCCTAACATCAAAATGTTACCCATCGTAGGTCTGCAAAATTATTACCGTCACTTTGATTGCCAAGAGAGAGAGGGAGAGAGAGAGGGAGAGAGAGAGGGAGAGAGAGAGGGAGAGAGAGGGAGAGAGAGAGAGAGGGAGAGAGAAGATAAACAGAGACAGAGAAACAGGCAGACAGACAGAGAGAGGGAGGGAGAGGGAGAGAGACTGGCTCATTCTAAATAATCGCGGAACCTCGATTTTCAACGCCATCTTGTCATTTATTCAACAATATATCGCCGGGGCCATGCTTCGCACAAGAATCTCGCGTTCAGACCCCCGAGCACGGAACGTTTGTTGACCCGTTGTCCTGACGACGTGTATTCCTTGGTCTACTCTGTTGGTATACATCCAATTCTAAAGTAAACATATGTTCGATGCATATCTCCCGTTATTAAATGCCTTGGGGGGATTACTGGTATGTCACGTTAAGAGTTGCTTCATGGAAAATGGACGCTACACGTAATTTTCAATAATTATTTCATAGATCGCATTTTGGCTTTAAATGAATTTAAAAAAGATTAATCAGTGAATTCATATTTACTACATTCTGAAATATTTCTGCCATATTATTTCGTATTATCATTCTTGTGGAATTCCCGATAGTTGTAATCTTGGAAATCGAAGTAAGTGATTGTTTGAATTTGATTTCCAGCGCCAGGGCGTGGTTCAGGTCAGGGAAAACGGAATGTTAAAATATTGTTGCTCTCTCCAGCTCAGAATCCTTCAAATGCTGTATCCACTCTCTCATGAATATGAGACAACAGCTCCTTCTCGCTTATTCTAGTAATTAACCTATAAATTCCTTAAGTAATTGCAATATCCTCAAGTAAATATCAAATGTGGGCTGCGTAGTTTTTGCAACGGGCGCGTTAGTCGTTTTATGGAATATTAATTGCGAATCAGCACGGAGGCCCTGAAATCTTCGTGTCGGGCCTGCATAGCGTAAATCAAACGCGCGTCAGAGCAATCAAGCAGATAAGGTGTGACGGTGACGGTGGTAGTGGCAGCGGCGGCGGAGGTAGTGGTTGCTGTAGTGGTGGAGGTGGAAGGGGCGACAGCAGAGGCGGTAGCAGCCATAATGACGGGGTGATGGAGGTGGCAGTGGTGGTATTGACAGTGGCTGTGGTTCCCGTGGTGGTTGAGGTGGAGGTGGACACGGCAGTGGTGGCGGCGGTATGATGAAGGTGGAGATGGTATCAGGCGAGGTGGGTGAGGGCATCAACTGTCACTGCAGTGCCTCTGACCAGGAGGTTCGAGTCCCGACGTTGGTAGGATTTTCGACACTAGCTAGGTCGAACTCAGTCGCTGTCTGGAGGAGAATTTGAGCGACCGGTTGCTCTGAGAGCTAGTTTTCCGTGGTTTCTCCGATCAACGCCAGAGGAATGCCGGAGCAGTACCCTAACGAACTGGCCAAGGCAGAGCGCGCAATCGTTTCTTCCTCTTCCTTGTCCTATCGTCACCCCTTAAACACTAACACGTACCACACTACCACATGCCAGGAGCTCACAGCTTGTTCCGGAAGGGGCGGTGGTGGGAGATACCTAGTTGTGGAAAACTCCAATAGCCGCCAGCAGATGGGCGCTGGATCTCACCATCCAGCGTAGGAAGATCACCGCCACCTCCCTAGCAAAAACAACAACATGCACTACACATATGGGACTACTGACCTTTGCAGTCAACGTGCCCGGAATCACTAACAATCTGTCAACGGCGGTGGTAGTGGTTCAGATGGAGGTGGCGGCGGTAATGATGACGATGGAGGTGGTAGTGGTTGCAGTAGTGGTTGAGGTGGAGGTGGCGATAACGGTGGTGAAGGTAATGGTAATGGTGGCAGTGGTTGCATGGTAATGGTGGAGGTGGCGAAGACGGTGGTGGTGGGGTGATGGTGGTGATGGTGGTAGCACTGGCGGCGGCGGCGGCGGCGCGAGGTGAACCGGCCATCGCGCGTTCCCGCCTGGGAGAACGCGCGCGGTGCGAAGGAGTGCACAAAAACGCTTCCGAGTGCCGCGACCTCCGCCTGGCGCTGTGGGCGCTGCGATCCGAGCGCACGGCGCCGCCGCCCAGCTGCGCATGCGGGTTGGCTAATGGGCGGTGCCGCTCACAGCGAGGGGGATGGGCAGCAGTAACGAATGCAGCATCAGAGTGCATATGGGTCCGCCAATGTTCTTAAGTATAAATTCTATGCAGTGTTTCTAAGAGTGTATTAACGAAGAACTGTGCAATTCATTCCCTCAGGATATCAAATACGAATTTCATTTTTCCTTTGAGTTGTCTATTCCGCACGTCTCATTAGCTCTGTCACAGTGTGAGGTAGCTAGAAGTGCTGGGCTCCTCGAAGTGTTTGAGAACGTACTGAAAGGTCTCATTTTGTGGATTTCGCTCTAATGAATATAATTTGTGCCCCCGGGCGTCAAAAAACCGGGTTTAAAGGCTACGACACCCGTTTCCGAGTTATGCACACACAGTGTTTCAGGAAACATGCGTAATGTGTCGTGCGGCTTGCATGCGCGTCTGGGTAATCCTTAATTATCATAAAGATCAATAAAAAGATGCTTTTTTGTCATATGTCTGTTTGACGAATGCATCAACAGCAATTTTGAGGGTAATTGCAGATCCATCAGTTACATATTCACGGTTTTTAGTGACTTGTAAATGGTGTAAAATTGTTATCTTTCCTTAGAAAATTGATGTTAATGAGATAACGTATTTCTGTGCTCAGAAATGGCGATTATGATTTTTGTTTTGTAAGCGTAATTAGAGGTCTGTGAAACTTTGTGTATATTTTATGGATACTTTAATTGAATGGGTGTATTTTGCCCTCCCCTATATAAAGTAAATTATTTTCTCGAATACGTACTGTAGCAATTCATATTTTGTGGGTCCTTGATACCGAGAAAGTTTTTTTTCCCTCAATCTCTCTATCTGTCCATCTGTAAATAACACTAACGCCTAAAAGGTACTCAGGATTCTCACCAAAAATGATATTCTTAAAAGGATCTGGCTGATGTCAAGACTCCTCGAATTTCAAACTTATGTATTACTTCTTAAAAACTCTTACTCGTGTGCATGTTCAGTTTTTCTGTAGTATCTAAAAACCCTAACTCTAGTGAATACTTAAAGTACGTCACCTGCGCCTGCATTTAAGAGACCTTAACAGTCACAAGGTGGTGATACAGATTATGATACTGAATATGATTAGCACGAAGAATATTCAACTTTGGTGACTAAGTTAAAGGTATTGAAATGCTCTGTGATGGTATTTTATTTTTTAAGCGACATTTATAGTTAAGTATAATCCACTTATTGGCCGCACTAATTTGTAGAAGAATTTCTTGCAGTGTACGCGCACTCGAATGTATCTCTCATCTTTGCAAATTCTTGCTTCTTGTCGTCCTGGGCGAATTTCCACAGCGATGCGATCTCCCGCAAATAATTCCATGTGGGCTGGCGCTTTGTGCTGTCATTTCTCCCCAACTGATAACAACTTCCTGATAGAAGTTGGGAGAATGCCAGTTCAGAAGATGTAATTATAAAGATATTCCTAGTTTTGCCTGGAGAACTCAATGTTTCTTAATATTGTCTCCGACCACTAGATTGCGACGTACACATTCTTTTTACCGTACCTCTTAAAGCCCCATTGGATGAAATTACACCAAGTAATTGCGTACACGTTCACAAATAGTTGGGAGAACATTGGTAACGAATATTATGACAAATTTTTGTTAATATGCCGTAGAAAAAATTCTATAAGTGCGTTAAGGGAATGGAAGAAGAAAAGTGTCGAGGTTTACTACGAATTGTGAGTGAAGGTGTAAGTAAAATTCAATTACTTCACAGTGAACGTAACAAGTAGTTTAAAGTGATTCATTAAAACTCTACCTGTATTTCACTGCAAATAGCTTTGTATTAAAAAGGAAATTACCTGCCTCATTACTATTATCCACTCTATCCTAATCCAGTTCTTAGGCTTTTCATTTAACTCTCGATAAATATTGAGCTACTCGCATGGAATGCAACGCACTAGCGACGGAAGAGGTTGCAGGAGCAAGTGTTATAATGACGACAGAACCAGTGGCCGAGCCGAGCTATGAGGAAGCGATGTCGAGTTAAACGAAGTCTCCTGCATGAGACATCCGTACAAAACCGCCCTCCAACGACATCGTTATTGTTGTGGCCACCACCTCCGTAACGGTTCAAGTAAACAAGATGCCACCGTCGTAGTCGCTACTATCACTATCACTGTCTCCGACACCTCAGTCGGGAGGGTTGCCTTTGACGTAGATGAGTCGTAGTGCTGATGAAAATGAAACTTTGACGATTGGATTCCTGATCTGACATGTCTGGTCCGAATTTTCTTCGGAAATTATAATGAATTATAGTATACGTTACGAGTTCAGCTAACGATGTTTGCTTCTACTTCAAATGAGCGGGAATGGTGGCTTCTGTTCTTGTTCTCATTGCCATCTCCCTGCACGCACGGTAGCTTCACACATCTCACCTGGGTTTTAAATCCCGCTGTCTCCGTGTGGTACTTGTGGTGAACAGGATGGGTTCGCCACTGCCGCCACTCACACGAGCACCTCGCCAACACCACCACCAACAATAACCACCATCGCCGCCGCCGCCGCCGCTGCCGCCGCCGCCGCCTTCTCTTCACAGTCGCCGTCGCCGCGTTAGGCGCCGCCGTGTAATTGGGGTAATTGCGGCGCCCCTGCTCCACCAAGGCCCCCGCGAAGGACGAGGCGCCCTCGGCGGCACGACACACCACGCCACTTCACACCACACATCAATCCACACCACATCACACAATACAACACACCACACCACCCGTTACATCACGCTCATCACACCATATTTCACCACACTGGGCCACGCCACACACCACTCACCACATCATATACCACGTCACATATCACGTCACACCGTGAGCGAAAGTCTGTAGATCTCGGCCCTCTGTGAGTTTCTGGAAATCCGCCGCCAATAACCCCTAAAAAATAATTGAACTATAAATATTTTTAAAAATCTTCATAACCAACATAAGGAAGAATGCAAGATTAAATAACATGTGTCAAAAAAGAATGCTGAACAAAACTACTGCACTGAGAGAAAAGAGACTACGAGGACTTTAATACAAAATGCAAATACACAAATGAATACAATTTTGCAAATAATAATCTGCAGAACAAAAGGAAAAGAGGAAGAATGGCAGTCTTCATACCTCTGAATGTAGGGAATTATTCCTAAATTGCATAACACATCAATGGGAGAGGGTATGTTTTGCGTAACAATATGATTGACACCTCTAGGACTTCTCTCCCGGCACTTCCGTGGAAGCCACCACTCGCGGCTCTCAAACGGGTTTGAAATCTAACATCTACTGGGACACTGCAGCGGGATGTTTGGTTTCTGAAACGCATACTCGCAATACGAGGAAAGAAAAGGTTTTGAAATATTTTTGCTTTACCTCCACGCCACTGAATGGACTGCCCCCTCCACGATCTCACCACTTGAGCTTGGTGAGATGTATTTTTTTATTTCCTTTTATAATAACTGTATAAAACTCAAAAAATCATTTATGATGTACAATAAGAAATATGAGCATTAATGACGTCGTTACTTACGAATTTATTAATTTCAGTCTTCAGAGAAAGTTTTATGAAAACATTTTGAGTTGTATCAAAAAATAAATTATGTAGAAAAAAACATTTTATGAATACATAATAATAATTATAGCGGGCAATCATACAATTCGATCATACAATTTACCGTTCTCCTGGAAAATTAAAAAAAATGTTGTGTACTAAATAAATATTAATGTTATATAAAACATTGCACGAAAAGGTAAATCTCTTTGTTATTTTGCATGGTTTATCTCCTGTGGTTTATGCACTGAATATATGTTACTTTTATTTATGAATTTTAAAAGTATACTAAGTCCTCAACTGTGATATTTGCATTTTGTTTTGGAACATTTGTATTATTTGGAATATTTTCAGAATTGCATTAAGTTTCATTAAACATGTTATTAATATTCGCCTAGGTCAAAATTGCCAATCTACTCAGCTTCTTTTAAAAAAAGTTCTCATCTTCAAGAACACGTTACTACATAACATTCTAAATAAACATACTTGAGTCATAGTCTAGTGTTAGCACTAGCCAAAGCTACATATTTCTCAGGCTTTCTACTGACTTCTAATAATATAAGTTTGAAATGTACTAAAAGGTGTTAAGAAAGTTTCCAAGCCCCGAACAAGGAATGACATGGACCCTGACTTCGGGTTTGGAGCAGCTAATTTCAAATTGTTAGTTTAATTGTTCAGAAATCAAACATCTATTTTCTGTTGTACCTTTACTTTATGTGTAATATTGTCTTGTTCGTTGACTAAGCGAATTCATCAGGAACATCTCATAAACTTTGGTAAGGAGTGCGTGAAAATAATATCTTACGCTTGCTATTATCAGGCGCGAAAACAAGTTCCGTGCTTGTTAATGTGTCGCTGGAAATAAACGCGCTCTAGGCGACGCAAAAGAAATAACTCGTCAAACTGGCGAGACGACTACTTCAGGATAGGACTGCAAGTGAAAATTAAAGGCGTGTGAGAATTCCAAATGGAATTGTATTACAGTCTTCTACGTAGTACGTGAACTGCGATATTGATAAACCGAGAAGAAACCATCCGAAGACATTACAGCGGAGTAAAATTTCTTTACTATTTTAGCCACTGAAGCAAATGTGCTTGTTTACGTATGTGAATCCTAAAATACAATTTTGACGTCAATACTGAATATCCCTCATTAAATCGCGTTTGAAAAACTGACGTTTTTACAAATATAGATAGTTTTTACCCCACGACGAATAAGATAAGCGTTCTTGACGACAGTCACGTGACGACTCAAGACCAATTAGGGCCTGCGTAAGCGGCGAGCATATGCAATTACCATGATTCGCTGTAAGGACGTCCATAATTTGCCGAGCGTCAGTTGCCTATAAAACTACTGTTATGAAGATGAGATAATGATTTTTAGTTAAAGACCTGTTTTTTATAGCAGTGCGAAGTTACATTCCTTTAAGTGATGAACACGAAGAGATTTTTAGAATAATATTTGGCCTCCCAAAGCTGGGAGAAGTTTGTGAGCTTATGTTCGGCTCATGATTTTGTATTCGTTCATTTTTATAGATTATGTAAGCTGCATAAACTCTTCAATTAATTTATTTAAATATCGTATTGGACACACTATTGAATTGAATTTAAATATCTCTGTGTTCTTCGAAGTTCGTTCATACAAATGCACTCGTAACTTGAGGGTAGAATTGTGCTGGTGACATCATAATATTCCATAATCTGCTGTTTTGTAAAATCAAAAGAATCCGAAGAGATTTAAGATTGACCTATATATTTGAACGTCAAGAACATACGAATATTTAATTCATAATTCTATAATTTATCGATTATCTAACATCTGATAAAATTAAAAACCTTGCAATAAATACCAATCTTTGCAAATAACACAGGGCGAATTATTTTATATTTTTGAATTTAAAGCACTCAAATGCCATATTTTCTTAAGGCATTTCTCGAAATGAGTCACAAATCTGTTCACCATAAGACACTAACGGAGAGAAAATTAACATAATGACGCCGAGGGACAAGAATCGAAGTCACAATACCTCACGCACGGCCTGCAATGACAAGAACTGCGAACGCCGAAGAATGCGCGGGGGGGGGGTAAGAAAAGCGAGGGCGGCAACAACAGGGTCCATTGAGGCCTTGCTTCGGTAGCCCTCCAACTCCGCACTTGCACCAGTTGCCGCCTCTCCTGCACCCCCGCGCACCGAGGGCCAAGCAAGGCGCCAAGCAAAGGACCGAAGAATCGAGAGGAAGCCCCACTCGCGTTAATTGCCTGCTAATTAGTCGGCTTTGATTAACCTCCCGCGCCGCCGCCGCCGCTGCCGCCGCCGCCGCCCTCTGCGTCTAAGAAACCCGCACGGCCTAATTACCTCGACTCAATCGCGCGGAGCGAGTCCCCCTCGGGAAGTGGTGCGAGCGCGGACCGGCGGGGGCTACGTGCGCGTGTGGCAGGCAGCCCATCCCGGTGGATGGACCCGCGAGGGGGCGGGGTCCGAGAAGGCGAACCAGCCGTCCTTCAACATTTTTTAAATAGTGCACCTCTCCACCCAGCTGACCATCCCTCATCATATTTCTGTATCGATTCTTCTTATTTTAAAAATGTCGCAAATCGCATCTATTGGACCACTTGAATTCAACTACCCACACCGGTTACCATTCTTATTTCTCCTGGGTGAGTGCACACCACTTTTTGGGGGGGAGTAGATCAGCATTTCTACGCTGAATCCATTTTTAGACTCCGGGATCGTTAGCCCTGGGGAGTGAGGTATGAAATGATGCTGATGCTGATGATGATGATGATGATGATGATGAAGGATGAATGAACAATTACAAACATACAGACACACACAAACATCCATGTCCCGGGCGGGATTCGAACCCTCGACCCTTCAGGCACGAGGCACATAAGGCAACTTCTTTTTCTTCTTCTTTGTTATTATTATTATTATTATTATTATTATTATTATTATTATTATTATTGTGTACAATATGTAATTTTCTCGTACATTCTTGGCATTCTTAAGCCAAATAACTTCAAACTTGTAGCGCATCATATCTTCATTTACAATTCTTGGCTATTAGAAAAGCACGGCTTTCCTTAGCCTGCAGCAGTGATTATCAACTGGAATACCGACAAACCACAAACCCTAGAGGTAGCTGAAATGTCGTGTGTGTTGCTCTTACTTCCTTATTATTTGTTAGCTTCTTGAGGGACCATTATCAAGAATGGGGGAATGATCAAGGGGGAATATTTTGGGAGAAAGGGGGGGGGGCTTTCAAAGTCATTTCCGATATGAATTCTTCAAAATTCTCTACTGCGGCTGTTCAAGATTTTTTACCCTGCGTAGGCCTTTAAAATGAATTTGCTTGTGAAGTCTACTCTATTGCAGAAAATGTCCGTTGCAAGTTATTGAGGCGTTGCAGATGGTGCATCGCACCGATTCTAAAATATTACATTTTTATGGAGACTCATGTTGCGCTTATACAAAATGTGAGCCAGTGAGATGGAGTTGTTTATGTAATACAGAATTTACAACACATAATTTGTCAATGTTTGCTGTCAGTGCTGTTGACAGCGCACACGTCTGTGATAATGCGCGTTGAAGTGCCATGGCTCGTGGTCTTCAACGCTATCGCTGTATTCAGGGTTGGGCAAAATGCTTTAAATTTAGTTTTTAAGTACTTCGCGAAAGTACTTTGTAAATAAGTATTTAAATACATTCTCAAAATACATTAGGTTTTCAATTGCTAAACACATACTAATTTAAACTTTTCAGATACTCATTATAAAACTTTTGTGTTATAATTTTATTTTTCCAACAATATAATATAATTGTTAATTACGAAAAAATAATAATCATACTTTGCTGAACAATAACCAACTATGTTTGTGCATGTGTGTGTGTGTGTGTGTGTGTAAAAAAAACTTTCAGATATAAAAAGATATCAGAAAGATGTCTAAATCAAATAAACGGAATTTCCTTTTAAAACGACATTTTTTTAAACAAATCATCACACAATAAACCCCTAATTGGCGAATGTATGAAACCCGTGAAGGAAAACAGTCGGTGAAATGGCACTAATGAACATAAACTAGTGTTATAAGGAATAAAAGCTTTTTTATTGTCGGATAATTGTTCACCATTTTTAATGATTTCGATTGATCATTTACAAATGAAGAGAATTTAAATTCAACAACTGAAAAGAGATTTTATTTTTGTTTCAATGAGGTCCTTTCACTGACAGAATCGAAGACAAAGAAACGATCCATACTATCTTCTTCATCTGTGTTTACAGTATTTTGATTATTAATTTTTTCATTGATATGCCTATTTTATGTATTTAAATACACCTCAAAAACACGTCTCCAAAAAAGCTCAAAAATACAGTTTTCGAATTACAAAATGTATTTAGGATACGTATTTCAAATACAAGTATTTAAATTCTGCCCAACTCTCGGTGTATTGTGATTCACCATAGCTTTGGCAAGCTTCTAAACCAGAGGACCTTTTTCTCGAGGAATGATTCTGCGAACATCTCCAATTACGTTTTTTTTTTACCAGTCAGCAATTTTGAAAGCTACTGTCTTATTGTAAGAAATTCATTTATTCCGTTCATTGAATAGATCTCACCCGCAATGAAAGAAGGATTATATTCAACCGGCAGCCACGGTTTTCTCAACTTTCTTTCGATCGTGCTTACAATAATTTAACCACTTGGAACTTCTGATGCCAACGTTTATCGGGTTTTGTTTGGGCACATCCTTTCTCTCTACTCCCTCTTTGAACTTTTGTCGGTGTATTTGTAAGAGCTGAAAGTGGAAGGGGAAAACGCCGCCGAACGTATCTGAGGAGCCTGCAATGAATGCATCCGTTAAACATAAAAAAGTATTTGGTTAGAAACAACATATTCATAGGGAGAGTCACCTCTTTTATGAACATGTTTTGTTGAAGTCTCTCTTATGATGAAAATGTTTTTTTGTAGTATTTTAGGTTTAAGTTCTATGCGTTTTGTAAAACAATTTAAGTGTTAAGATACTCCATAGCATTTACTCAATTGTATGAAACTGAAGAGACGTTCCTCGCCCTTTGATGTCCAGCCCAGGATTCTCAATTTGTTACATTATATTTGGGAAGAAATAACTAATAAATTATTTGATGACGTCAATAGAAAATTAACCAGTTGTCTGTTTATCATGCTGTCTCCGTATCTGTAGAACCTTTGGTGCGGCCCTGCGAAAATGTAAGGCATTCGAATAGCGTAGTGGGGTAGGTACCTCTCAAAAATTGACCTCAGATTTTAGAGCTAATGCATAAGTTACTCTTTTTATGTACGCACTCTAAATTAAATATAATACTTCATGGTTCTATACTCTATCAATGAAACCATTTACTGTCCATAAAACACCTGTTCTTTGTGTAAAGCCTAATAATGCCTGTTGGGTGCAAATGAAGTCGCGGGGAATTTAACCGAAAGTGTTCCTTGGCAAAAAGTGCGACTTAAGCTGAAATCTAAATTAATGAAACATCCCGAATTACCAATACTGTGCACTGCAATGAAAGGGAAAGTGACAATTAATACGTTGTCCGTTATTCCAACATTAAAAGTGCACCAGTCACAAGTGTTTAAATTTTTTTGTGCACTTTCTGTTCATAAAATGATTTTAAGTTGGAAACGTTGTAGCTGTTTTAGCATTTTATTTCCTGTATTTCTTTTACTAGTTCAGGCTAATGTTTTTATTAAAAGTTAAATATAATAAGATGTATGCGAAAATGTTATTGCCTTGTCAAATTTTACTTGTTTAGATTACGTATAAAAATATGTTCGCATTTTTAATAGCTTAATTGCTTTAGACGCCTGAAATACTTTGAAACCCTTAATCAGAGGGGTTGTTTTAATCCCAACAATCTCCATTTTTCGTGATTTTGCTACAAAAGCTAGTTTGTCTCTGAGATCGACGATTTATTATTTTCAACGATAATTTGGATAAATGGGTACTTTATTTTTACAGCTTCGCAGAAAATCATGTTACGATCGTGTAATCAGCGTTTAAAATGTGGAGATAACTTTGAAGTAATTGAACAAAGAGTTTTGTGTTCGATCTAGCTGAACATCGATTTCAGAGTGAAAAGTAACATATTGAGAGTTCATGTTGGAGATGACATTGATTGACATTCATTCATCCAACGTTCTTCAAAATGTCCTGCAGTTGCATTAAATTTACAATGATTATTTTGGCAAATGATTGTATAAAAATATTGTATACAAAGCCTGGCACTGTCTGCAGCTATTTTGCTTTTCTAATTGGTGTTTTAGGAAATTATCAGTTTTAAGAAAACCGTTATATTATTATTGGTTTGTTTTAATGTCAAGATTGTCCTGGTACCAATGACTAAATTTCAGAAAAAATATGTGGAGATTGCTGTATATGAAAGTAGCCATGGTCAAATGTGCAAGATCGTTCACGAATGTGTGCCGTGTGTTGCAGCCGCTCGAGCGACCTGGACGATGACGCGGGCGACGACGCCAAGTCGGTGCGCACCAATGAGGAGAGCAAGAAGTGAGTAATGCCCCCCCCCCTCTTCCACCCTCAACACTCACAATGGACACTTCCCGGAATCGGGACTCTCCGTAGCAGAATGTTTCTAAAACAAACACCCAAAGCTGTTTTGGCAGCGGTAATTCAGAGAGATGTACTACAAATTGCTTTTGTATGTTAGCTAGATATGTCAGTCAAATATTTAAAATATGTTTGACTGTAAACGTTACAGGTGATCTGAACTAAAATTGAGTGTGTAAGTTAACTAGGCAAGTTGGTCAAATGACTACATAATCTAAGTCTGTAAACTGTAACTTGAGAGGTGAGTTGAACTGAAATTGTGTGCGTAGGTGAGCTAGAGAAATTAGTCAAATGGCTAAAAAAATGAAACTCTGTAAAATCTCTGTAAAGTTACTTTAGAGGTGATTGTAAACAATTATTTATAACCAACGGATTTGGAATGTGAGTTTCCTTTTCATTTAATTAAGTATAAATACGTAAGTAATGGTGGTACTAATTCGAGCCAAGCTCACCGGTATCTGTAATTTGGCGAAAATGCTTTGGAAACATTTCATTTAGTGGGCTGAAGGATGTTGTATTTTAATCGTGAAGATCAGTGCCTGTTAACTGCGATCCGAGCGAGAGAATCGAATCAAATTGGCCGTATGAAATTGACTTTTTTACTAGCGCCTAAACCGCTAACTCAACTCAATTACCCCCACACGTACGTTTCAAATCCCCCGCCATCTACGGAGCGCATTCCACACGTGTTGCGTTTATCCACTTTGGCTGTGCGCTCGGGATTTCTGGACCACTCAGCGGTCCCGTCTGAGCGCGTATTGGCCGATGTGAGGCACTGCGCGTCAGACGCCATGCGTGAATCGTTGACATCCCATCTTCTTGAATGTCTAAGTATAGCAAGAGAAAGATCAAATCGTAGAATCAACTCTGACCTTATTTATTCGTGGCAAGGGAAGAATGTGGCAAAATTCTATGATTATTACCGGGAGAGATGGCTGACGATATCAACTGATGTCACTGCAGTGCCTCTGACCGGGAGGTCCTTGTTTAGAGTCCCGACGGTTGCAGGATTTTCGACACAAGCTTGTCAGCAACGTGGTCTTCTGAAGGAAAACTTCATAAGATTATTTATTTATCTTTTGAAAAAGTAAAAACTAAATGTGAGATATGGGTGAGAAGTATAATCTGCCGCCATTTTCTTAAGCTCCAAATTTTTTACCACCGCTCTTTTAACACTGAGTTTAATTTGGGTAATAGGTAACAGGGGGTCGTGGCAACGTATGGAAATTTGGCAACATATGAAAATTAGAATATTTCGCTAACATGCAGTAGACACTATTTTCATCCGCCAACAAACTACTAATTTTGTATTATTTATTTAGAAGTAAAGATTCAGAAAGTTTTGCGAGAGTCATCGGAGGAGATTTAGTAAGTATATAGTATTTTTAAAGTTGTAACGATAACCTTTATTTTTCTGCTTCCTACCTTACATGTTCGTTGTAAACATTTCCTCCTCAAAGAATCTGAGTTGAAGCGTCCGCACATTGCATTATGGACTGGCAAGAGTGTCCATATCAAGGACAGTCAACATTCCCTTTTCCTTTATTTGCCGCAATAGTAGTTAAACTCAAGTATGCTTGTTTTTCAGAAGGCACGTTTGAAATTTCAAATTCATGTAAGAAATACCGTTATAATGCCGATTCAACTTCTTTCTCAAGATAATTTGTAAAACATGGCTAAGAAACAACATTAGAAAAAGAACCATAGATCTTATTTCTACTTAGTTATAATTCATCACTCTATAATTTTGGATTATTTTGTTTTGTCAAACGTACTAATGCAATATAATAAAATCACATTAGTATACTGTGTGCTTCGGTGTGTTCTTTTATTTTGATGCAAAATTTTGATTCAGCGCGGCAGTGAATTATTTAATTAAAGTCTACTATATTCTGAAATTAACTCTTCCACCATTTGCCATAAGTATGAACGACACCGATTTAAATCTTGAATAAATCGTTACTCCATATCCATCAGAAAATACTCGAACCCAGTTCACGAAAAGTAAATTATTTGCTTCCTGGCCAAGACTTTAGATACGCCCATGTAGAACGATCAATAAACCAAGCTTGATTTAGGTATCAGACTAAATGAATTCCTTTCTACTTTTTAACCAAACGTTTTAACAAACAAAAATAGATTAACGTGTTCTCCGTCGAAAATTGTTTTCCCGATGAAGGTCCATAAAGTGCGAAATGCCATGTGTTATGTGCAAAAAATTGCAAACGTACTTTCATTTTTATCTCGATTATTATCGAGGAGTCCTGCGCGCAACGCTGGCTGCCGCTGGAGCTCTTCGCTCAAGTGCGTCGGGGACGGTCGAAGTGCTAGCAGCGAGTGGGCTTTGTAGCTTCACTCAGATGGGAGGAGTATGATATTGCCTAGTGAACAACAACGAGTACATTCAAACGACGACACAGGAAACCAAAAAAGGCTTAAGGCAAAAAAATTACTACTTTCAGTGTACGCGGAATTTGTAATCTTCAAGAATTTTGTAATCTTCGGGTCATTTGTGTGAGAGTGGTGTGTGTAACCTGGCGAAAATTATAAAAAAATTACCTGGGATTCCTTTAGAGCTTGCGATTCAAATATAATTTGACATCTGAAACGTACTGCTGTCCCCTTTTATATAAACACACACACACGTTTTTTTTTACTTTCTCGCTCTTACTTCGTAAGAAGAGAAAGCATTGTAATGGTGAGCTTGAAAACGGTGAATTTTCGGCAGAAATGCTCTAATTGCCGGGCCGTGGTAATGAAAAATGAGATATGTCGTAGCCCTATACATTACTTCTTTTAGCACGTAGTGTCTCCATAATCCATGATTTCTATGCCCTTGTAACCGAAAAATAGATTAACGGCAATACATTTGTCTGCCCGTCCGTCTCTGGTCAACGCTAGCGCCTAAACCGTTCAGCCGATTACCTCTAAAATTGATATTCTCCAATCGTTTTGATGGAACTCGAAGCTTTGGGAGTTTCAGACGGATCAAATTTTTATTTTTGTGGGTACTTTACATGATTCCTCAAAAACTTGGTTCAAAATTGGCGATAACGATTTTTTTGATTAAACTTTGTCCTCGGGTAGAGTAAAGGAAGCTTAAGAGAACAGTAAAGATCTCATGTGCGTTAAAATCCAGAATTTTTCGAAAATTAAAAAAAGTGCAATTTTTGGGCGTCAAACAACTACAGTATTAGAGATAGCGATTATTATCTTGTAGAAATCGGTTCTTTAATGATAGATCTTGAAATAAAATCCTGTACAATTTTTCAAAAATATGAGTAGTCTTCGGGTAATGTTACTCTAAATATATGCAATTTTTAATTGTTTTTAAACAATGTTTTCTCAACAACGGCTACAAATGTGTTCGTTAAATTTTCTCCTCGTGTGTATAAGGAACCGTAAAATATATGGCGCTAGTCCCATTTTCGGGAAACCGTTCGTATTTTCAAAATTGTAAAAAGTTAACATTTCAAAACTATAAAATTGAAGGTAGATATTTTCCCTTATTAAATGTCTGTTTAAAAATCAGTTCTTTGCAAAGGGTCATGTACAATTATTGTTTTAAAAACTAGATTTCGTGTAATTTATGTCTTCTTAAACGCCCTCCCCCCAATTGTTTTCTTTAAACTATCTGCTTGTATGTATGAAGAGAGCGTACAAATATGATGATATTCCTATTTCCGGCATTCTCCGAATTTTCGAAGGTTGCAAAAAGTTAACATTTGAAAACTACAAAATTGAAGATAGCGGTCTTTGACTTAAACTAAGTATGCTCTAAAATATAGCTCTATAAAAAAGGTAATCTACAATTTTTTGAAAACACAAATAGTAGATTTCACAAACATTGTATCTGAAATTTACTTCTCCAAAAATTATTTTCTCAAAAAGCAAATCAAGTCTTTCATTAAATTTTCTCATGTGTAACAAAGTACGGTAAAAATTATGGTGCTAGCTCCATTTGCGGCGAACCGTCCGTATTTTTGAAAATTGAGAAAATTGGGCGTTGGAAAAATTGGGTTGACACAATTACATTTTTAAGCCTATGCCGAAGTTCAAACCACACGGCGTTTCTGTAGCGCAGTGATATGGCGTACGGCGAGTTAATTGGGAGGACGTGGGCGCGAGTCTCGGTGCGGAAAATAGTTTTTGCTTCTTGAAAACACTTTTGGTTGTTTGTGTAGTAATATAACATAGCGGAGAGGTTGGAAATAATGCAAGAGTATGTGCTATTGTATCACTACTAGTTCATTTTTTTTAATTATTCCCCTCCAAACATTACAAAAATAATAATTTTTGCACGTTTACAACTTAATTCTGATAAATACAATTGTGCAATTTAAAATTAATACATTTATTAATTCACAATTTAAACATTGTTTGACGAAGAATTGTATAAGCATCATATGCCAACAAAACGAATATCAAATTAATTATTTATGAGTATACAATTAAATCGACTTAACATTGACGTTACATATATAATTAAATAAAGTTGTGAACTTATGAAAGGCAATTCAAATATGAGACATTTCCAAATATTTTAATTTTTACCATTTAAGAATTAGAAATTGTCTCCGTGCATGAAATTACTATATTCACAAAATGTAGTGAAATAATTTATTTGTGGTTAAGAAACGTTGGCTGTTGGCTAAGCAGTGACACTACACCCCTTGTGAGCTTTATGTTAACTCAATATGCCTCAAATTTCTCCAAAAATATTTTTCTGGTTTTCTACTAGTTTCATTTGTTGCTATTTCAATATTTTCTTCATTTTCTTCTAATACGAAACTATTGCTGCAGGCATACTGCGGCAAACATATGAAGCATTACTGAAGTCTCAACGAGAGAACGTCACTAATAAGGGTTCACAAGAAAATATCATTCCGAATATCATTGGTACCTTTGTTCGACAGATAATAGTTATTTATGATGGTAAAAGTGGTATTTTATTTTCGATTAGGAAATGTTGCTACACGAAGCTTGTGGGCTGAGTGGCGCAAACCTACGAGCAAAATAAAATCACTTTTCCCACGTGTGTTATACACTATTTTTTATACTGCCTTATTTTCATTTTATTTTAATTCAAATACGCAAATCACATAATGATTCATAAAGATTAGTAGCTATTGCGGTCAGACGCTTTTTTTATTGTTGCATACACAGATGTATCTGAAAACATGGAGCTGAAGACAAATCATATTTTCCGAGTGTCTATGAGGGGATTTCTTTACGTTATCACTTTGATTTTGTGCGATATTACACACCAAGCTCCCTTTTCCAACGCTCAACTATTGCCTTCTCGCCCCGCAATGACTACTCGGGAGCTCATTTATTAAGTTTTTGATTTAGACACCAAAGAGGGAAACTAGTGTTTGCCAATCACTTTCGAACGGGCGGTTGGTTGGTACTGTCGATCCTGAAGTTGATTTCTGGGGAGGCGCATCTTTACTAAGGGATCAAACGTAACCGGACATGTGACTGAAAATGATTTACCAGTTCGTTTGGGTTGAAAGATGCACTCGCCATCCCCGAATTGCTCTTCAACAGTGGGAAGCAAGAAAGTGTTTAAACATTAACGTAGGCCTGTGCCGTGATAGTGCCACACAAAACAACAAGGGGTGCAAGCCCTCTCCAAGAAAAACACGACCACACCATAACATCATTTTGGACGTGTCTGGATACTTTTGATTACATAGTGTATACATTTTCTCCGGTGGCCATCTATGGAGGAGGGTGGGTTAACATTTCGAATATCTTCGCAGCCTCTTATATTTGTCTGTTAATTCTCTTGATACGTTTATTTTGTCTCTAGCCAACAATTTTCAGAGCAAATGGAATAACTTACTGCGTCTGCTTACTTTCACATTATTTTTTATTACAAATAATCCTTCATTTAACAATACTCACAAATGTTTATTCAGTTGTCTTCGAAAATTGTTGGCCAGGACAACATACACGTATCTTTGCAAACACTGTAGTTTTCAGCGAGAAGTTCCAGCAAGAACAAGTCACAAATCGGCCCTATTCTTAAAAGCAGTTCGCACCCAGAATCGTTTTCCTGGTCCGCAATAGCGCACGGTGACTCACCACACATTCGTTATTTAATTAATGCGACCGCAAGCCTCGAAACGACCATAATAGACGCCGCCGCATCAACAGGCTTCAAACGAGAGCCAATGACGCACCTAATGTGCTCAGGACCACTCCAACGTTCAGTCGACTCGTGACTGGAACAACTGGGATAGTCGATTTGGTTCTGAATATAAATAATTTCATGTGAAGGAGAATTTCAATAGGATCTTATGGGAGAAAAGTGCTCGTTCTTTTGTAGTTTAGGTTTAATGTTGAGTATCAATCGTTCCAATCCAATACGCAGCTCAGTTTTCGTTTCTGTGAAGATGTGTTTGAATACGCAATATCATTCTTGTTACTCTAATTGAATACTAATTTTTAACGCTGATAAAATAAGTCATCGAAATGATTCCTTAGTCTTCGCAAAACTATTGAAATGTTGAATGGTATAGATTGACGTTCGCTTGTACACAAACGTCAGTCAACATAATGTTCATTTTCGACCATTAATAGAAAAAAAATGTATTTTTTTACATTCCACATTTTAAGAACTGAAATATTTTTGATCGTGGTGTACAGAATTTCAGGCGTGTATGAAACATTCTCAACAATAAAAAGTCTTTAAAATTAGATAGTTTAGACACCATTCTTAAAAAACCCAATGTGATTTTAAAAAAATAGTTTGCATATTGGCATTGAGTACATCAAAGTGGTCTTATTCATTTATTCAATTTCGTTCCACTTACTAATTATTTCAGGTTTGTGTACTTAACCGTAAAATTAAACCATAAGAAGTTGAAAATCATAATGGGGCTTGTAAGGTATGTCTTAGTAAATAAAAATAATGTCTTTGAAGATCGCTTTTATCGTGGTAAAAAATTTAGTTAACCTTGTTATCACAAAGCTTATAGAAATTCGGTGCCAATATCTTGAATCCGAACAGGGAAAGATAAAAAATTAAAAATTTTGAAAACGCCCTATTGAGATTTGTGCTACCAAACTATGTATATGAATTATGATGGGAGTGGATATATTTCCAGATGTCCAGAAAATTGATAAAGGATTCGATTGTTCGAGTGATCGAACATAAATACATTAAAATATTATGTCTTCACTGCTCCCTGGAAACAGAAACCTTTCTGAATACCCAAATTCAATTTGCTCTTTTCCATAACTTCATTACATCAGTTTTGACATTAAATTCAGTGTATTCTTCTGTATTCTTACAAACAGTTTAAAGAAAAAAATAATTACCCGGGCCTGGATTAGAGCTGGCGGGAAAATCGGGGATGGCGATTGCATCTTTCAACACGATCGAGCAATCTGCACGGCCTGTGGCGGTGAGGCTACACGACAATAACATGGAGCTATAGAAGTACCTCCTCAGTCTTTTCGCCCAACTGTGGACTTTCAGTGACCCCGGCATCACGATTGGTCACTGTTCTTCAGAGCGTCCCTGTCTTGAATCCGCCATTGCACTTGATAGAAGTCATTCGGTCCCGCATTTTTCTCTTTCTAGAAACCTCATTGCGTACCCTTATCCTTATCCCCTCAAACTAAGTAAATTATGAACGTAAATAGTGTAAATTATTGTGTTCATTACAAAGAAAGTAAACGCAGTGATGTATGAAATTATTACTCCCTCAAACAATAGGAAGAATAGTTTAGACTATTCTCACAACTGAACGTTTTAATAATTAGCTTTTTGTCTGTACCTTTGACATTTACTATCTTCTCGCACTTATTGCTATGTGACTAGTGTTACTTCATGCGAAGTATTTTCGCCACGCCTTATAATGACCTTCATTTTTTATCTCAACTTGTTCTTACTGCCTTCTTTCCAACGTTTGGAATCGTAGTTAAGGAAGTATCATCAGCATAATTGGTAATGGGTTTCAAATTACATTACGCAACCTCGATTTGTATTCAAGAGAAAAAAAAGCTGATGGTTAGCGTCATTACCCCTTACTAGGAATAATTTCTTGAGCCTGAGGAAATTGTAAAAGTAATTGTTTTGTTCAAAAAGAAATGACGCTTCGATTCTTAGAAAACGATCTGAGGAAAATGTCAGTTTGAAATGAAATGCTACCTACTCTTACATCAAACACGTCGATAACATTCCACAATTTTTGGCGTTAAATATTGTAATAGCACCCACATGAAAAAACTTTAAATGTTTTAATAACGCACAACCGACGATATTCCTCAGTACGAGCTTCCCCCGACGAACTTTTCCTCCGAACAGCGCAATGAACTCTAAAAATGGTGCAGGTCCGATTTTCAGTAAAACCTCGATGTTATCGAACATTGTAAAAGTTTAGAATTTTTGAACTCCCCTGCTATGCCTACATTAATAAAGGTAGGAAAGTTTTTGTAATAAAATGTGTTTTTAAAAATCTTCATTATCTTTAAAGAATGTGATGTACAATTTTCTGAAGACGGGAGTATTTTTTGCGAAATTTTGAGTGAAATGGTGACAGATTTAAGAAAATACGTAAACAAGATATATGTGTGTGTGTGTCTGTGTGTATACGTACGGGTGCGCGCGCGCGTGAATGAGTGTGTATGGTGTATGTGTATGCCTTTGTGTGTCTGTGTGAGTCTGTGTGCGTGTCTGTGTGTGTCTATGCGAGTGTGGAACGGATGCCCCGTGGAAAGATTTGCTTCTAAAGCTAGGTGCTCGTAATCCCGATTCGGGTAATTTATTTTTTCTTTAATTAATAATTATATTATTATTGATTATTATATTAATTAATAATTAATTAATAACTAAAATTAATTAACTCTTTGTAAGAATACAGACTGTATTTCATTTTCTCAAAAAGCCATATAATTTTTTTTTTTATTTTCAAAACCATTATATTAGATTTTTCGAAAAATCGCACGTTACTTTTACTAATAATAAGAAAGTTAGCCGTATTGTAGCATCAGTAGTTTATTCTGAACCACATAAGTGGATTTCGATTCCAATGCAATCATCATTGCTTCTGCCGCGTCTATGTCATGTCCCTATCTGATCACCATAATTCAAATCCCAGTCGATCCATGTAGAATTTGTGGTGGGCAGAGCGGGTTGCCAGCAGATTTTCTCGGGGTACTCCCGCCTTCCTTGCCTCTCATTTTACCATTATTACATCACCGTTCAAATCCTAACAATACTTCCCCATCCATCCGTTAAATCTCACGAAAAAAAAGAACAGTTGCATTATACCAGATCCATGATACTGTAACAAGGGAATTTGTTACAGTATCACGGATCAGGTATATTGCAACCGTTCTTTTTTTCGTGATGTGTGTCCCAGTTATGGCCGAAAAGCCGTAGCTAGTGAGGAGCCTAATACAGAAATGTTTTTTTTGTGTGTGTGCGGTGCGCAGGCAGAACCACAGCGAGATCGAGAAGCGGCGGCGGGACAAGATGAACACGTACATCACGGAGCTGTCGGCCATGGTACCCATGTGCCACGCCATGTCGCGCAAGCTGGACAAGCTGACGGTGCTGCGCATGGCGGTGCAGCACCTCAAGACCATCCGGGGCGCCGTGCACTCGTACACCGAGGGCCACTACAAGCCGGCCTTCCTCTCCGACCAGGAGCTGAAGACGCTCATCTTGCAGGTGAGCCCATCACCGCCTCAATGCCTTTACAGGCAGGGTCGGTTTTTTGGATGGAGAAACACAATGAGATTTCGCATGTTTAGGCTCCAAAATCTATATTAGGCCCTAAAATAAGCTTTGAAAATGCTGTTTAAAATTACTCCAATTAAATTACACCCATAGCGGTGAGCGTTAAGGCAACGCCTTACTCCGACCAGGAGCTCAAGACGCTCATCTTGCAGGTGAGCCCATCTGCGCCTCTACGCCTTTTAAGGCAAGGGTCCGTCTTTTTTTTTTTTTGTTTTTTTTTTTTTTTTTTTTGTATTGTAAAAGCAAATGAGATTTGCATTGTTTCGGCTCCACAATCTATATTAGACCCTAAAATATGCTGTGAAAATGCGGTCTTAAATTACTCCAATTAAATTACACCCATAGCGGTGAGCGTTAAGGCAACACCTTAAGACCCAAGCACACAATTGGACCTAGGGAGATAAGCTCAAGTATGTAGAAAATGCATTTCTCTAATACGTTGTGTTGTCAGAATCCACAATTTGTGGATTCTTGATATCGAAAGTGAAAAAAAGACGTTTTCGCCAGTACGTCTGTCTGTGCCTACACAGAGGCGTGTCTACAGTGTGGCAGTCATGGCACGTGTCGTGGGTGACTCTCACGAGGGGCGCTATTATAGCTTTCGACATTTATGAAAAAAAAGTTGAATTATTTTTCAATTATGGAATTAAACTTAACAAAAATGATGAAATAAAATAGTCACTTTTTTTCGTTTGAAACTTTTATCATCCGATTAAGCAAATAATATTTTGTACAATACGCGAGCAGTTGACCCGATCAGTGTTCCCTCACCCCGTCACCCCCACACCCTTACCCTATAAGGCCTAGCCTTTCTGTTTTTTTACAAATTTCATACATACGTAGCGCAAATAGATGTTCTCGCACGGGTCCATAAAAATCCTCGAACACAGGAGAATATGGCTTCGGAATTGTGTATGTTAAGTGAGCGAGGTAAATAGATGCAGGGTAAGTTTTGTTTTCACAAACATGCAAGTGGAATTTCCAATGTTGGCAGCAGTGCTCTAAAAAGACGTGCAAACATTTTTTTACAACAGAACTGCGCCAATTATAATGGATCAATATAGTACTAAGCATAAACGTAGACCTTAATCATTTGACTGAGGAGGAAAACGGCACGGGATGCAGTTGGATATGTCTTTTTGGGGAGATAGATAAACGGCTTAGAAAAACGTTTATCCGCGGGATGCAGTCGGGATGTGCCCGGTGGAAACCATAAATACGACACCTTCTCTGGTGCTCGATTGCGAGGCGAGAAGTCGCAAATTGTCTGAAAAACACGTTTACTCCCCCCCGTCCCGTCCCGTCCCGTACCTCCGATTAAACGGACGATTAAAGCGCGCCTTCGCCGAGCGCTGCTCAGTTAGTTACGTGGCCGATGTCATAATGCCCCGATTACGTAAGCCCCTCCTGCCAGTCGCCCGGCGCGTCGCCCGCGGCGGTGAATCGACGGCCGATGCGGCGCGCGCCTATGGCTGACGTACGCGCGCGCTCGTGGAATTGAAACGCGCGCACGGACAGCGCTCGAGAGAAGGGATTCGATGGGACCCGGGAGTTTTTGTACGGCGTAGCGTGCAAAATCCACTGCACTCTCGATCTTCTCACCGGATTAGATGGCTCAGGTCATGAGATGTAAATGTAGCTTCACAATGCGCAGGTTTTGTTGAACTCTCCTTTTGCTTATAATGGTAGAGGTAAGAGCGAGTTACTATTTTGTTAGCAATGCAGAAAAATCATACTTGCAATATGTTTACCGATGCAAATAAATTTTCTATAACTCGGGAACGAAAATGTCTATTTTTTCAATATTGCTATCTCACGCTTATTTTAAATTTATTTTTATTTATTTATTTTAAACTCATATTTTAACTATTTATAGTTAACATGACGGGAAGGGATTTTGGAACTCAAGAAAACGTGCGCAGATAATCTTCTCCCCCATAGGTCACTTACAGTTTTACAGTTTTTACTGTGGTTTTCTTTTCTTTTTTTCTTTTTTTTTACTAAATAAATCTAAATAGATGTTTCTGCATTGCCTACGGTGGCAGGATTTTCGAGACTAGCTACTTTTAGACAACTGGATCAAACTCATCCTCTGTCTGAAGGAGAATTCTTGTGGTCAGCTGCTCTGATCGGCAGTGTTCCGTGATTTCTCCGATCAACACCAGGCGAAAGCTGTGGTTGTACACGGAGTACTTTAACAAACGGGCCACGGACCGCGCGTGATCTTTCCTTCCCCTTCCTTGTCCTATCCTAAGCCTCACACACACACACACAAGTTGCCACTCATGGCAGGAGACCATTCGAGAGCTGAGAGCTTGTCCGCCCCAGCCGGGAGGTACCTAATGCGAGATACCTGGTTGGGGAAAACCCCACAAGCCGATGCGTAAGTCGACACCGAATCTCGTCATCCAGCGAGGGAAGATCACCAGTCCTCCTGACATAAAAACATGCACTACACGTATGGCCCGAATGACTTAAGCAGTTGACGTAACTGGAATGACTTATCAATGGATTTTCTGCGCATGCGCAGATGCACAAACGTGATTGGAACTGCGCATGCGCTGAAGATTGATAGTGCTGTCGGTTGCTATAACGCTTCGTCGTGCAAAAACTCCCTAACAAGGCAGATTATGAAGTTGGAATTAAAGAAAAACACGGTTGGTGATTGATAGTTCGATTAAAGAATAGATGACAGAAACAATATTTCTTGAGATTTTCCGAAGATTTGCAAAAATGCTATTAGGGTTATTTGATCGTATTGACATTATTGTCTTGAACGCCTTTTGGCATTCTAAGTTTGGAATGTGCAGGAAATTCGCTACGCTGTCACAAATACATGTTTTTACTTACTAGCCCTTACGTGTGTAAAAAGAGAGAGCAATATAATCGTGTGCCGGAAAACGGCGAATTTTCGTCAGAAAAACTCTTATAGTCATCTTCGCCAAACTCTCCGTATTTTTTGAAAATTACAAAAAGTTACCATTTCGAAACTACAAAATTGATGATGAAGATTTTTTGTCTGTTGTAAAAAAATCAGCCCTTTAAAAAGATCACGTTCAGTTTTTTTGCCTAGTTTGCAATTTTTCAAAAACCACTTCAAAATTACTCTTCAAATTTTTTCCACGGATATAAGAAGGGAACACAAAAGAAATGGCACGGGTCCCATTTTCGTGAAAAATTGCAAACTTATAAATAATGCGAGAAAGCATGTGCTTTTGTTGTACAACTACCTCTATATTGAACTATTTGTTTTCTTTTTTATTTTCTTGCTATTATCTCTCCCTTCCTTCCTTTATATTCTTCTCTCGTTCATTCCCAATTCTTTTCAAACTTTTTAAAAATGTTGCGAACAGTTGTGAGTTGTCAAAGACCTTCAACCAAATGAAATTGAAGGCTGAGAGTGGGAAATGCTGAGAGACCCAAAGTTAAACTTTTTCATTATTTTTCATGGAAATCGCTGATTGTAAAAAGACGAATAACTTGGGATAAGTTGGAAGTAACAGCAGTGTTTTCTTGTAGTTCAAAGTGACGCAAATGGATGTAGAAATGTGTTTGATAATCTGTGCCTTCGGAAGCTGAATGTGCCGAGTAAGTGAGTTTGGCCATTTCTGCGTTTTCCATTTCGTGCCTTCAATTATTGAAGAATACGTTGTCGTGTTGGATGTTGATTTCACCAATATATTCATGCCATTCGCCCGTGAAGCTCAAGAAAAACCGAAATGTTCGTCACAGCAGCATAGGTTGCTGCCGTGTCGATTGCGATTCTTAGACGAACAATATTGTTGAAAAATAGTGGGAGGAATTGCGTTAACTTCTGCTTCGCGATTCCGTTTCTTAGAGGAAATTAAAAATTCCGATTTCGAAGTAGTACGTAGAATTCTCGAGGCGCTAGAGGTACTTGCCCTCCATCGCAGTCGCTTGCAACTGTTGAATGCGACCGCCGGCCGTCACAAGGCCGTGGGGGCGGGGGTGAGGGTGGCGACAAGCCCTACAAATCCCGTGCGGGGCCGCAAATTAGTTTATGGCTCGCATATTGTGACGCACGACACCCCCCTCCCCTGCCTCGGGGGGGCGGGGGAGGCCGATTGTGCTGCCGTCTTGAGCAACTCGCTCTGATTTCTGCCCGCTCTTTCATTACCAAGTTCCCCGTCTTTTGTTTCGAGTCCCAGCAACTCCACGTTCCTTGGCGGGTAGCAGCAAGTGTATTTCTTCCTCGTTGGCTGTTAATTACACGTTTGGCCAACTGTTTGCTCGTTTGTGTAGAAGAAAGTTCCCATAGTATGGCTTCAACGAAATGGTTTTGATTACTTCAGCGTGGTATTTTGTTTTCTTCTTACACTGTTCCGTAATTATGTCAATAACATTTTCTTAGAGATTTTTTAATAAAATTGAATATGCAAAGAGGAACTAGAATTTCCGATGTGCAATTAGTGTTAATTTACGTAGTAAGTGTATACAGTTACAAACAGTAGTAAGTAATAGTCACATAGGTCGAACATTGTTGTGGAAGAGAAACAATTTCCAGCACTCAACATGCCACCTTTGCTCATAATTACTCATACTTTCTGCGTCGAATTGTAGCATCCGTAAATTGTTGTGAGTATGTCCGCACGCATATTCATGCTCGTACCTCACACAAAGTGATTGGGACATGCGGAACTCAGCGTGAATGCAGTCCTTCAATACGAGCTCATTTGTTGGTCATTGAAAAGAGCACAATTACCACGCATATAGAAAAAAAGTCCCTTGTTAAGCTCGAGAAACTAAAATGAGCAAAACTCATGCGAGACGCGCAAGAAAGCTGACTTGAGCCGGTCCTGAGGAATTATCTGGTGCAGTTGGTAACGAGCCCGAATCGAGACGATGAATGTTTGTGTTTTATCCGTGACTGCTGTTTTTTTTTTTTTTTTTTTTTTTTTTTTTTTTTTTTTTTTTTTTTTTTTTTTTTGTCGTGCTTAATAGGTTTTTAATTTCTCGCCTTACTTACGTAAGAAGATGTATTCGTGCACTGGAAAACAGCGAATTTTGGGAACAAAAAAACCCTTTTTGTAGGGCTCTGGTAGCGAAAAAGTAGATCAATCATGTTCATATAAATATAGTAAATTACTTCCTATAACACATGTTGTCAGGATCCATGTTTTGTGGGTCCGTAATACAGAAATATCGATTGACGGCAAAAAGACGTTTTTGGTCGACGCTAGCGCCTTAAGTTTCACACTATAATCGTTTCTTCGTTAATTTCTTTCTTGTATTTTTAACGTAGGAAAAATGAAGTTTTCTAGATAAATCATAATCGATTGTTGAATTGATGTCAACGTACCGCATCATGGATTTGAACTAGTTAACATTGGTGAAATTGCTATTAACTGCGCCAGCTGCTAAAACGGCAGAACTTGGGAAGTCAGTTCACTTGCTCGGCCGGCCATACGCGTGAGATTTTATACGCGTATTCATCCGAAACGCGCCGCCATTGTGTTCTACTTTTAATACTCATATGCAGAGCTTAATTTAGAAAATTGTAGGTCCAGGAACGCGCCCCAAAGTAATTATTAGCTTAATGTAAGTAATTGTATATTTATTATATAATTTAATAATTATTTCCGAGGTGACGAAACGCTGTTCCAGTCGCGTTCCTCCGGAAATCAACCCCTCCTCATATGTGAACGCGGCCCAAATAGACGAACCTTTTTTTAAAACGTAGCGATTCCCAACCCTGGAGGCCCTCTTGTGCAATTTGATACGCCTGCTAGAGTATGAGAAGAAATCGAAAGAAATAAGCTCACTGGTACTTCAGAGAAATAAGAATTTAATTGTAATATGATAAATTACAATATATTAAATTGTAATTTTTATCCATTTATATTAATTTGTGAAAATGTGCACTTGTTACCATTAATAACTAATATTATAAATGTTTTAGTGTAAATATTGCGGTTCATAATTGACCGTCATATAATTAACCAAATTACATCTTTAAGACAATATTGCTAATTCGTCTATTTTTGATTGTAGGAAAGGAGTCTTGTCTATTTTTGTTGCTAGTAAGGGACACGTAGATTTTCTATCATGATTATCTATCAAGATTACACAACGCTCAAGTCTTCGTTAGTTTGGATTGTACTTTACCAGCGCCCTGCAGATGGACATTGCGTTTTTATATAGAATAGGTTGGAAACTGTATTATACAATTGGATAAATGTCACCCAGAGGTAAAATAAAGAAACACAATTCGAGAAATACCTGTGTACTGTATATATTTACAAATAAGGAATGCAAATAAATTTACAATTTATCCCACGTACCCTACCCATCACACGCAAATGATATTTAATATATATGTATATTAATATGTACTGAGATATACATACGAGTGTGTTCACGTACACAATATATACGAACATACATTCTCGTATACATACGTATTCACAAGACTATTGCAAGCATGAAAAACAAAAAGTCATGATGATGATGATTATTAATATAAATAATAATACAAATAATAATTATATGAATATTATTATTGTTGGCGTATAAGCCATTACTGACCACGCGACACGATTAACGTGTGATTTTTCCAGAATCAGCTTTTCAGCTGTAATCTTCAGTACAAGGTTCTTACTCCTTGAAGTGTGAATTATGAGATGATAGGATGATGAGGAGGGGTGAAGGGACAATCACAAGTACGACCATGTTACGCAGACTCGAACCTGCAGCCTCCGGGGCCGACTTATTATATATATATATAATATATATATATATAATATATATATATATATATATATATACTACAAAAGAGGAAACTAAACTTGCATCCACGTGTATTTCAGGCGGCCGAGGGCTTCCTGTTCGTGGTTGGGTGTGACCGCGGCCGCATCCTGTACGTCTCCGAGTCTGTATCGCAGGTGCTCAGCTACTCGCAGGTAAGCCACTCGCGCGGTTGCCTAGTGGCGCACTTCTCTTCTCCGGGGCATTAGTATCTACTCCTGTGTTCTCTGTAACTGTATATCAATCTTAAATCTTTAGTGAGGATGATTATTACTAAATACTCCTTATCCCGTTAGTTTTGTACCAACACGACTCCAAAAGAGGAAGTTTCCTTGAACAGACGTTTTTCTCCTTCAAAAGTCAGATTCTGAGGGAATTTACTCGAATAACAATAAAACTTTTGTTTTCACTGTAATATCGTCCATGTATGTAGCATCCATCTTAGTAAGGTCTTGAACATACCGTACATCTTTGTAATGATTAAGAGGCCCTTTCAATAAGTTCAATAAATATTCTTATATATTTTATATACGTTTTTGTTGTTATTGTTTTTTGAGAAATTCATGTAACTTTTCGTTTAGTTTTCAGCAATTTTTTGAATGTGAATTCCAGTAATTGAGAGTTACACTTGCTTTATTAGTTGATGTCCTCCAACAGCAAATTGAACGACCGAATCAGTTTGCAAATTCTTCCTTGTTACATCAGTGTGGTCTGATGGACAATAAACTCATCTGCATCTCATAATTAAATATTCTGGATCACACAAATATTATCAGTATCACTGCGGTTTGGAAACTTGCTTAGTTCGAGAAATATGGTTTAGAGAGAGTTTTTCTAAAATTGTTCAAAACACTCGCTTTTATTTCCAAAAAAGACCCATATACAAGAAGAAAGAAAACCGATTTATAACTTAATTTTATTAACGGTTAGTTGAATTTAAATGAAATGAAATAGAAAATCGTCGCCTTTCTGCTAGTACGCTTTTTCAGGAGGGACTCGTCTATTTCTGAATGGGGAGTGATGGGCGATTCTGAAGTAGAATGCGTATTCAGTTTCTTAATAAAGAGAAATAGAATGAATAAATATAATTTTTTTAAATATTTTTTGCAGATCCGTGCATTTTCCACATTTTTCTTTACACTGACCACCATCTCAAGATATTTTAGTAGTCTTCATATCCTTAAATGACTCTTACACAATTGGAACTTTGCTTTATTTGTATCCTCTGTCGTCACGCAGATTTTCTTCAGTTGTGGAAGACCCTTTTAAGATTAACGATATCCTGCCAGATGGGATTTTACTACTTTTAATCTCTCAGTCCGCGTGATTCAAGCCTTTAGGTTCGGCAGAGTTGCTATAGGTGAGCTGAAACAATGTTGTCAGTTCTCTCAATCCCTTTAATTCACTGTAGATACTATACAAATTGCTCACGAGACCTCCGCTTGCAGTTATTGGAATTGGTCCTGAGTCGAAATTTTTCTTTCCTTCAACTTTATTTCCTATGTTAACAACATCTAATGCGAAAGGGTAACTACGTACAACCGAATTGTCTAGTGTTTATATTCTTCTTCTTCTTGAAAAGTGTAAGACTTGTTTCCTTCGAAGAATTATAACGAGTCTTCTCCTTGGTCTGCCAGCTTCTCTTCTGCCCCACGGCCTTTCATCTCTAGTAATTCTCACGATTTGTTTCTTCTCCATTCTCTCAATATGAGAGTTCCATTCCTTTCTTCGGTCTGCTACCCATTCAGTAATGGGCTTAACTTTGCACTCTTCCCTAATGTTTCTGTTTCTTTACTTATACAGTAGAGTGTGATTTGAAATTTTCTCAAAACTCTCATTTCGGCGACCTCAAGTTGTTGTTGCGTACGTTTTGTTTAACTTCTTGTTTCTCCTGCATATGTTAATATTGGTCTAATTATTGACTGAGTCCTGTTTTAAATGTATATTATACCACATTGATTAGTTGAGACAGCCTGCGATCCTATTACCTTTCATTATTTTCTTGTTGATTTCTTTCTCCTTTTGTCCTGAGCTTTTTAAAGTTACTCCCAACCCATCTATAAAAGTCATTATTTGATTATTCACTACCAATTTACACCTAATCGGATTCTTAGCTATTGTCATAGCTTTCGTCTTCTGGATAGATATTTTTAAATTAAAATTCTTACAAATTTTAATGAATTCGTACAGCAATCGTAAGTCATCTTCATTTTCTGCTATTACCAATATGTCGTTTGCGTAACATATGATATTTATATTCTCCCATACTATATTCTTTTTTTGTTTTTGTTGTTTTATAGTATTAATTTTTAATAAATATACACATTTGTTATGTATTCTAATGACATCAATTAGTATTATATTATCAAATGCTTTGCTTAGGTCCGCAAAACATAGGAAAGCTGGTTTGTTAAGTTCTGGAGCTTTTTCCACGGATGTTAAAAAATGTGTTAGTGCATGATCTAAAATCCTGTAGTTGTTTCGTGTTTATAGTCGGGGCAAAAATATAGCTGTAGCGTACCACTACAATCGCCTGATAGCTGTGCAAGATAAGAACAGCGCAGGTAGGCCAAATAAGCCAGGTACGGTGATGGGCAAAAATTCATGCCCTCAAGGTTTGATAATAAATTAAAACATAGCCCAGGCCTAGGAACACTATTAGTTGTCCAAATCCGGATTGTCCCGACCCTAAAATGTCAAATACATACATCTAATGTTAATATGTAATGTATGTGGAACCGGACCGTTGCCTTTGGTTCACTACTCGAATAACAGTAAATTCTCTACATCGAGGTTCGACTGTTATACTATGTGATCAAAAGTATCCGGACACGTGGCTAAAATTGACTTATCAATTCATGGCGACCTCCATCGGCAAAGCTGGAATTCAATAGTGTGTTGGCCCACCCTTAGCCTTGATGACAGCTTCCACTCTCGCAAGCATACTTTCAATCAGGTGCTGGAAGGTTTCTTGGGGAATAGCAGCCCGTTCTTCACGGAGTGCTGCACTGAGGAGATGTATCGATGTCGGTCGGAGAGGCCTGGCACGAAGTCGGCGTTCCAAAACATCCCAAAGATGTTCGATAGGATTCAAGTCAGGACTCTGTGTAGGCCAGTCCATTACAGGGATGTCATTGTCGTGTAACCACTCCGCCACAGGCCGTGCAATACGAACAGGTGCTCGATCGTGTTGAAAGATGCAATCGCCATCTCCGAATTGCTCTTCAACAGTGGGAAGCAAGGTGTTTAAAACATCAATGTAGGCCTGTGCCGTGATAATGTCACAGAACACAACAGGGGGTGCAAGCCCCCTGCAAGAAAAACACGACCTCACCATAACACCATTGTGGACGTGTCGGGATACTTTTGATTCCTTAGTGTATTGAATGAAGATTGAATTCACCATACCATCGATAAACACTGGTCCTTGATGAAGCTTCATCGCCAAAAATAGAATTAAGTTCATCCATGCACTGTTGCTGAGCTAATCCACGTCGAAAGTTGTGAAACGTAATCGCACGCAAATTTTCATGATTTAATTCCATTTTGGGTCCAATATGAATCTTTTAAGTTACTGTAAACAACACAAATAGCGCTCGTATGTCAAAACGTTCTGAGTACGTATAACCTCAAAACATCCAACTTCACGATAGAACTGTCAGTTGCCAGATTGCCACACCAGGGTTGCCAAATCCCGACACATAAAAGGCAACCTTCGTATATGGAACCGGACCGTTTTTTGGTTGACTGCGCGAATAACCGCACATGCTCTACATCAGGAGTCGACTGTTATATCGGTCGTAAATGTGAAAGTGCGTTTCCGCGCGCGGCTCGCGACAGGGAGCGGGCGCGGGGGCTGCGGCTCGGGCCGAGGCGGAGGCGACTTCAGCTCGGAGCGAGGCATCGCCCGCTTCCGGCCGACGCCTCGCTTCGCTTTTGTCCGCGACTCGCGCGCCGCCATCTGTCTGAATGAGGCTGATGAGGGCCCGTCGAAGCCGACGGCGGAGGCACCCGCGCAGACCCTCTGACTCTCTCCCGCGCGGCCACCCTGCGCCACCGATGCTCCAGGCTGTTTTATAGAGGTGCTTGACGACGCTTCTTAAGGTTTAAGTGTGTGTTGTAGAACCGCCTTACCGCACAAGGGTGATAATCGGTAGATTATACATCAAGGAAGAGAAATGCGTTATTTTTCCCAAAGTGTAATTGTAGCCCGAGGGCTACAATAATTGTAATAATAATTATTATGCCGAGGGAAAAATAATTTCTCTCCCGAGATGTACATGCTATTATTTTCCTCCAGCCTTATATTTTTTCAGAAAATTTAGTCAAAATATTAAGTTATGGAATTTAAAATTCGAGTACGTGGATAGTGTTTGTTAGCAAGGAAACTGTCAATAGAACTACGCGTTTAATGGAGGCCATGGCTGAACCTAAATGCACATCTGACGCTGCTAATGAAGCTAATGGAAATTTAATACCTAAATATCTAAGAAAATGGATGATGCAGCAAATGTAAAGATTGGTGTAAAGATCAAGAAATATTAAATACAAGTTAGAACGTCTTGCTGGTGTATCTTGGTGAGGAAGCAAAGAAGTCCAAATAACTTGTGTTTCACATTGTGTTTAAATATATAATTTCTTTAGTCACGTGTATAGTTTGTTTTCATTATCGTAATCTAAACATGGAGAGTATTTCATCTCTACAGAGTAAATATTATCTCCTTAGGGACTGAATGCTTCACTTAGGCCCCTCATTTGCTAATAATATAGCTCACTTTTTCTCTCTGACGTAGAAAATAGTATATTATGCAACTAGTTTATGATGTGAACATGTATATGTTTACTGTACTTTGATGTGAACTGAGTACATGTTTTGAAAACGAGCGACGTGAAGGACCCGTTTTCAAATTTGCAATGAAGCAACAGTATAAACGAGAACAGCATTATAAATTTTGTAAGAAAATCAAAGTTAATTTTGGGAAACAACTTTATTGAGACGTCATGGGCATTTGACATCTGTGCGCAAAAACGGTGGTTGGCTGATCGGTTGTTCGCTACCTCCCCGAGATTATCTGCGATTGGCTGAATGTGTGATGACGCAATTATTCGTATATTAATCTGCACATACAACACCGTGTGGTAAGATGTTATCTTGTTATTTTATGAACGACTTCTTGTATAAAAAAATATCGTGTGTAACGCTGGAATAAAAAAAGAGTCGAATGCGGCACAGGAATTTATTTCGCCTTTTGTAAATTATCACAACAGTTTTAATATTTTATTTTACAAAAACAAATGCAATCAAAGCGAATATAAGATATATACTTTACTACTTTACTCATATTTGAACTTATTTTCAACCACTATTGTTTCAAGGACTTACATTAATTAATTAAGAGATGTTGACTTTGGTTTCCAACAGATAGTCCGACAATAATTGTGTCAAAAGATAATTAAACATTTCATTGCACTTGTCAAAGTTAGTAAAAGCACGTTAATTGTTTTTAATAAAGTAATAATACGAACATGTAACCTTCTAGAATAATCAGAAAGTTAGCGAATTACATGATGAAAATTCCATATTGTGTGGTTTTTCTAGAGTTGATATATCATCTTTTCACATATTTTTGAACATAGACTAATTCCTATGTTATTTTGAATTTTGTTAATTTATTTTTCGTCAGGTAAAACTGTGTGATGTATTATGGAGAGAAATGCCATATGTGGAATGGTTCCTTGTTCTGTGGGATGTTTGCTTTAACTCGTATACTTATATACACATTTTGGAATAGCGATATCAACCTAAGCGTATTCAGACTGTCTTTTATTTTATACATTATTAGCTTATTTCCTATTATTAATTAGATTATTATTTCCATAAATTGTTTCTTTGTATTTGAATGGATTTTGAGGTACTGAAATTTATGATATATAGATATATTATATAATTATAATATATATATATATATATAATATATATAATATATATATATATATATTCAAGTATAATTATTGCATTTTTTTGTTAAAATGCCTATATACATGATTTAAGCGGGTGTAGTATTGAAATTAGGGGATTACAGATTAATGCGTGTTTTTTGTATTATACTGTCTAATTGCTTAAAGTAAAATTATGTTTGGATTGGGCTGTTCGGTTGTTCGCATTCTCTCTTTTATTAGTGTTTTTAATGAGTTAAGTATGTGTGCGTCAAGATAATTTCAAATCTTTTATTGCTTATCCTTGAATTGTTCATATGGAAATGGTATCTCTCAGTAAGGGACTGCAGTGTCTACTGTTTTCGCCCTGAACCATATCACGGTAAATATTTTTGTACATGAATTGTACTTAAATTAGTATGTCTTGAATCTGTGTTGTCACAAGAGTCATGTTCCACATGCTCTGTCACAAATTTTGGTCTTTTTACTTTCTCTAAGACAGCATTGATCGAATGATCGATCAAACCGTATAATAGGTATCGCGGCCGATTGAAATAATTATTCTAGTCCTGAGACAAGCTATATTTCCATCAGGGAAATGAAAAAGAATTTTATAGAAATGGTTGTAGAAACTTCATTTTGCATGCTCTAAAACCATTTTGCATTCTCTCTTTCAACGGTAACGAAATAACTATCATGAAACAACGGTACAGAATAGGAAGATTTTACGAAAATTACATATCTAATGCTATAATTAATAATCTATAATTTGATATACTATTTTCACTTATTTTGATCTTTCTGTATACGGGCGAGCTATTTTTATTTCTGGACAGAAAATGAGATACACTAGGTCTTCCGATTGGACACACCCACCTTTTCAGCAGAAGTTACTGTTTGCAGATGCACCTGCTTATACGTAATTAATCCTGACTGACTGAAATGATATCACAACATGACCAGCTTTCCAAAACTATCATCAGAGGTGCATTGCCCTATTTTTTCAATTCCGAACCCTTCCGCATTTCTTCCTACATCCTGCTTTTGCTCGGCAGCTAATCCTTTTGTCACACGGCTTGACCAGAGCCAACAGTATTGCAACGATTCGCGCTTCATTCATTTTCTGGAGATGACTCGTACCGACAGGGATAACCTTCATTCTTTATTTCACACACTTGTGGATTGTGCCGATTCCTCCATATATTATTTCCTGGCCCAATAACGTATGTTTTCCTAATAATAATAATAATAATAATAATAATAATAATAATAATAATAATAATAAAAAAACGTTCTATCTGGTTGCCGAAATGTATAATTATTTGAAATTCGTATGCGAAGCAGTGTGGTTGTGTACCTTACGGCATGTGTGTGTGTGCGTAGGGCGACCTGCTGGGCCAGAGCTGGTTCGACATCCTGCACCCGAAGGACGTGGCCAAAGTGAAGGAGCAGCTGTCGTCGTCCGATCTCAGCCCCCGGGAGCGACTCATCGACGCCAAGAGTGAGTCAGTCCTTGGACGCTCCGCCCGCTGCCACTCACTCTCACACACTGTCTCACACCGCCTCATACTGCGACACGCCGTCTTACACTACCACACACCGCCGTGCAATAAATTGAAAGGTTGTAACGAAATAATGTTTCGGGATCCGTTGGATCTTCCTCGTTGGATCCGACAATGATTCGCCTCGCAATCGTCACATCTTGGTTCTGCGCAACATCGCGATGATTCGCGTCACACCGTCACACTCTGCAGCTCACCTGGACGGACGGAAACTCCGTCACGCTGCGATAGTCCGCGACACGTTGCTCTGCTGCGACGCACCTTACCGTACCGTGGCGCGGTTTGACTCGCTTTCCTTACTGTTCGCAGTAACGTATGTTTTAATAATAATAATAATAATAATAATAATAATAATAATAATAATAATAATAAAACGTTTTACCTGGTTGCCGAAATGTATAATTATTTGAAATTCGAATGCGAAGCAGTGGTTGTGTACCTTACGGCATATTACGAATGATCAGTTAAAAACAATTTGATGGCAAAATGGCCTTTACGTTCTTCATTTTTCTACAAACGCTGGATGCCACAGTAAATATAAATAGAAATGTTTCATGTTGGACGTAGATCAATACCTAGGGAACTTACGTAAAGAGATTCATTTGTGAGGATGGTCCTCTGATGTTACGGTGGCAAATGTTAGTCGTGAGGAAAATATCTGAATATAGTTGAGCGCCGTTCCTTGCCAAAAAAACTTCATTAACCTTTTTGTTGGCGTTCAATTCTATTTAATTTGCTTATTTCACAACTAATCAAATAAGTCGGTTTCTGTAATAGATTTATTGATCTTGAAATGTTCATCAACAAATCACTGTAACGAAGTACTAAGTTGCTTTTTTTCTCACAAGTTTTTCAGAAGTATAAGTAGAAACAGTATTTTTATTGGTCCACTTCACATTGATTCTATTATCCATCCACTGAACTCCCATATACACAATGGCTTGCTACCCATACATACACGCACATGATTAGCTTTTTCCGCACGTATTTACCCTGATATGTGAAGACTGGCGAGAATGAAAGAGGGAATCTGCTTGTGCATGTCTGCGGTGGATGAATGTGGTCGTGAATGAATGTACTCGAAGGCTTCCGCGGCCGGAGGCATTGGATAGTTGGCTGTCCGGGCTGAGCCGCGTCTCAGTCGATGGAGCTGACGTTTCAGCCATCGTCTTGTGGCCTTCTTCAGATAGCAGCAGTATAGCTCTGAAGAAGGCCACAACAAATGGCCGAACCGTCAGCTCGATCGACTGAGACGCGTGTAACCCCGGCCAGCCAACTATCCGAGTGCACCAGTGAATGTGCTCACAGCGGTGTGCAATTATGGTTCTGGGGCAAGCAGATGTGATAAGTGAGCTTGTTTGTTCCTCTGCGCGATATTTGTTATATGGAATGGTAGTGAATGAGTGAGCGTGCTATTGCCAGGGCTCGGAAATGCTGACGATGAGCAATGGGTGAAGTGCTTGTGGTTGTGCGCATGCTCACGATGAGCAATGGGTGAAGTGCTTGTGGTTGAGCGCATGCTGGCGATGAGCAATGGGTGAAGTGCTTGGGGTTGAGTGCATGCTGAGGATGAGCAATGGGTGAAGTGCTTGTGGTTGTACGCATCAATGCAACGGAGAAAACGGTCGTGAGGGAATCAGTAATGTGTTTGTGTCGTAGCGCAATGATGCTACTGGTGCGGGGCAGAAGTACGTGAATGAGTGAGGGCACGTGTTTGTAGAGTTCGTGCATTCGACTAACGTTTCAGCGCGAGCCAGACCTACGAGAAGGGGAATCACTGCGCATGCGCAGTAAGCCATCTACAGATATTATCGCTCTTCAGAAAACGTCGGGAAACATTCCTAATGAGAGTTAGAGATTGTCATTGCGAACAAATTTGTTTTGGCCACGTTAGTAATTTGAAAAATAAAAATATAAGAGGAAAAATAGCCACAAGACAGTTGAATCCAGTGCTATGGAAATCAATTATTTCAATGAAGACAAAGAAACGCATATAGCTCCTTCATAGAGAGTACCACACTCTATGGGGCAGAAGTCTGGACACTATAAAAAAAAATTGAAAGACAAATTTCAATCAACAGAAATGATGTTCTGGCGAAGATGTTGTAAACTGTCTCTGTTACATAAAATAAGAAATGATGAAATAAGAAATAAAATGAAAGTACAAACAACCTTGAACGATACGATCGAAATGAAACAACTAAAATGGTATGGACATATGAGAACGTTGAAATCGGATAGACTTCCTCAAAAAGTTTGGGAGTGGTTACCAAATCGAAGAAGATACAGGAGAAGACCGAGAAGAACATGGAACACGGCAGTAACTGAAGCCATGGAAAAAAGAGAAATGGAGGAAAACGATATATGGGATAAAGAGGCATGGAAATTGGGAAAGAGGTGGAAAACGGCCAAGGATGTAAAAAAACGCTAAATAGATAGATAGATAGTAATTTGCTTCATGGGTTTTATTGTATTCTCTCTCACTCGAAATGTGAATGCAACGTATATGTTATGCTGCTTTCGAAGTTGCCTACCGAAAAATAGGAAGTCGCTGTTAATGACGCGGCATTCAGTGCAATCTATTTCCTCCGACATCAGCCGATTGCACAGATTCCTCGCGGGGTCTGTCTGTGCGCAGCGATGAAGTCGATAAAAAATGACAGAAACAGAAGGTATGAAGGCTCCACATTCTTTAGCTTTGCCGGACATCAAGTAGTTTTGCTTGAGTATGTGCACATCTTTGCTTCCTGTGAAGGGCACGCGATATTTTTAGCAAAATTATGTGCGTATAAGCAGTGATGCCACCGAAGGGAACACGAATGAATGAATGAATGAATGAATGAATGAATGAGCGATGCGCTTGAGCATGTGCGCAATTTTGCTATCTGTGAAAAGGACGTGAGGATTTGAGTGCATGAGTGAAGTGCTTGTGTATGAGCGATCCGTTGTGCTGCCGGTGAAGACGTGAGTGAAGGGCTTGTGCATGTGCGCAGCGGCGCTGCCGGTGAAGCCGTGAGTGCATGAGTGAAGTGCTTGTGTATGAGCGAAGCGTTGCTGCCGGTGAAGACGTGAGTGAAGGGCTTGTGCGTGTGCGCAGCGATGCTCCCGGTGAAGACGGACGTGCCGCAGGGAGTGTCGCGGCTGTGCCCCGGCGCACGGCGCTCCTTCTTCTGTCGCATGAAGTGCAAGTTGTCGGTGCAGGTGAAGGAGGAGGCCGACACTACCACGGGCTGCCATCGCCGAAAGAAGCAGCAGAACCTCGGTGAGTACCGCTCTCTTCTCCTATCGCTAGGAGACTTGGAACGCCAGGGTAGGTGGTATTGCCTGGAAAGTTAGTGAAAGTACTTATTTAGGTTAACATATTTTACTTTTCGCCCGCATCTATTTCGGTAGAAACGAAAACATTACGGTGGAAGAAACAAGATGATGAATTCTTTCAGCAGAAGGAAACTCTTTTTCTTCTCGCCTTTTTGTTATCAGTTAATTATTATTATTAATTATTAAATTATTATTCTTATTATTAATTTATTATTATTAACTCGCTGTTTTGCTTAGGGATACAAAAGTTGAAAAAAATCGATTTTTTATTTAGTTGTAAAAGTGAACATTTGTGCTATAGTAATTAATTTGTTGACTGATTTTTGTATCAATTAATAACATTAATGTTTAAATATTTACTTGTTGTTAAGTTTTATAAAAAATAATCAATCTTTAAAACATTGAAAAATAATGAGCAGATGTTCAAGTACTTTATATTTTCGATCATTTAAACTTGGTATTAAGGTGTTATCTGAAATTGAATCTGAACATTTGTAATTTGGAAATTAGAGTTCACTGATTTCAAGTTCCCCCAAAATCAACCTCCTAACATTGATCGCGTTTTGATATCACGCCATTTCGTAAACTGTGTAAAATCATATTAAATGTATTACAGAAGAAATTCGGAATGAAATAATGTGATAAACTCTTCAATTTTCGAAAAGAAAACAAGAAAAGTGTTCGAAATTCTACATAGTAACGGAATGCAATGTAACTGAAGAATTCAAGGCAAAAACGTAAAGAAACTTTTTTTATTACCCTCAAAAACATTTAAAACTCTGAGTGACGTACTATAGTGGAAGTGCAAACTGTGCATTATCGGATCTGCCCTTGAAAAGTGACTAGTTTAATCCAATCCCCCCCCCAGGTACTCCCTAAAATGCGTAAAAAATCCAAAAGTGACAGACAACAGCAAAAAGGCTAAAAAATGTACAAAATTATCGCGAAAAGATTACGCTAATCCGAAGTCAAACTCTCCTACAACCAATTAAATATTCATTTCAGAAATTCAAAAATATACCGAAAATTGTTGAAGAAGAAGAATGTCCTAGATAAATAAAAAAGGTTCAATAGATAAGGAAGCCTAGAAAGTTGGCCCTCACGCCAATACTCTTATATTTAGGCATTTCCTTTTTCGTTTGCGCATCAGAAATTTCCTTTACCGAAAACGTGGGGTTTGACGGTAAACATCAGCACCGAAACCCTATCCAGAATGGTAACCAAAATTGTTATTCCTCGACCTCATGTGTCCACCGAAGTGTTTGGTGTCGCAGACTCTCGAATTTGAATGAATATTTTAATTTAATTTACATTAAGACCAAGCGGGATTTTCGAAAAATTCTCGAAAAGAGCTTCGAATTGTTTTTACATAATTTTCTCGGATAGGACAATGTACGCTTATAAAAAGGCAAGGGTCCCATTTTGTGAGTTAATCTCTGAAATTTCAAAAATTGCCAAAGATTAGAAAAGTTTCAGCGTCTTACTTCTACTTTATTATTGAAGATGCAGTTTTTCGGTAGAAAAACTCTTGTAGCCACGTCATGTTAAGGAAAAAGTGGATAAATTCTGTTACTATATATAGTAAATTGCTTCCTCTAACACGTGGCGTGGCCAGAAGAAGTTTTGTAGACCCTTGATGTCGAAAAATCTATTTATGGCAAATACAACTACATCAATTGACGTTCATCCGTCCATCTCTCTGTCCATCCGTCTGTCTGTCTGTCCATCTGTCGGTGGACCAACGCAAGCGATTAAACATTCAAACGTATATTTTGATTTTTGAGAGTACTTTACATGAAGCCTCCAAAACATTTTCAACGTTGTCTTGAAAATGACAACATCATGTTGATTAATATTTGTCCTCGTGTAACGAAAAGAACGCTATAGAATGAAACAGGTCTCATATTCGTTGAAATTCCTGATTTTTCGCAAATTGCAAAAACGCAATTTTTTGGGGCGTCTTCCTACCACTATAATATTGAAGATTGCATTTTTTCCTCAATGAAATGTGTTCTTTAAATATAGATTTGAAATAAGGTCACTTATTTTTCAATAGTTCACTTGTACACTTATAGTTCAATTTGTCGAAAATATGAGTAGTCTTTGCGTAATTTTGTGCGAAATGTAGGAAACTTTAATTTTCTTAAACAATTTTTTTCTCAAAAACTGAACCAATTTTTTCTTATATTTTCTCCTTATGTGTATCAAGCGAAGGTAAAAATTTGTCTCGTTTAACTAGTCACATTTTCAGGTAACTCAGTATTTTCGAAAATTGCAAAAAGATAACATTTCAAAACTACAAAATTGAAAATAGTTTTTTGCCTTTGACAAAGTCTGTTCGAAAAAATCAGCTCTTTAAAAAGTCATGTACAATTTTTTAACGAGTACTTTTCGCGTAATTTGAGTTTGAAAGTAATGCAATTTATAAAAATCATTTTCTCAAAAACCGCTTCATAAGTTTTCTTTGAATTTTTCTACGGATGAAAGAATGAACGCTTAAAATAATTCTCAAAATCCTCCAATATTCTCTCTCAATTTTCGAAAATTGAAAATTTACCAATAATGCGAGAAAGTAAGTGATTTTGTAACACCATTAGTTTAAAACTTTGGGTCGTAACAATTTATAGGGTTTCTGCATACCACCATCCTGAAGTACCAGTAACCAGGATTTTCTTTTCAAATAAAACTTACTAATAGAGGGATCAGGTCTTCAACACGCGCATTTCGAGGGGCATGGAAAAGGTTTGGCTTGCGTAACCTACCCTGTTGAACTGCAATGAACATCGCATTTAAATTAACAAAGCTATAATCAGTGGAATTCCTGCTGTAAATATCTATATGAATGCAGTTCAAATCTGCACAGAATAAGTTGCATTCGTTAATTACCATTTGTTTTCAAATCACTTAAACTATGGGTTATTTATTTCAATTTAGGTTTTTCCCCGTTCTAGTTGACGTGCATTTGTTTACTATTAATGGAACCTCTGAGAAGCCCTGCTTTAAAAGATGAAAAGTATGAATAGTGTTAAGGACCCGCCTTTTTACTCAGATTTTAATGTAGGGCGAATTGACTTTCTATCACGTGGGACGCCAATTGGGAGTTTCAGTACCAAACCTTGCTCGGAGTCAATTCGCCCTCCATTTCAATGCGAGTGCAGCGCCGAGAGTGAGAGCCGCCCTCGCCCTCCGTTCGCAGACCGCAAGTACTGCGTGATCCAGTGCACGGGCTACCTCAAGTCGTGGGCGCCGGCCAAGATCGGGCTGGAGGAGGCGGAGGGCGACGGGGACGGGGAGGCGTGCAACCTGTCGTGCCTGGTGGCGGTGGGGCGGCTGCAGCCCACGCTCGGCGGCGCGGCGGCGGCGCAGGCGGCGGCGCAGGCGGCGGCGGCGGTGGGGGCGGCGCGGCGGCGCAAGTGCGGCGGCGCAGGCGGCGGCGCCAGGGCGGCGGCGTGGGGCGGCGGCGGGGCGGCGGGCAGCGGCCGCCGGCTCGGCGGGCTCGGGCCGGGCGACGACGATAGGCAGCGCTCGCGCCCGGCCCCGCCGGCCGCACTGCGCTGCCATTCAGTTCATCTCCCGCGCACGCCATGGGACCGGCAAGTTCCTCTTCGTAGACCAGAGGTAGTACCCAAGACGGCCCGCGGCGCTCTCGAGGCGTTTCCTGTCAAAACGTTCCCTCGTTTCCATTTTTGCTCCGCTCGGGGAAGGATTCCGGAAGTACTTCAGGTGGAAAGGGGGCAATTTCAGTTTGGACTCCCATTTATGTTTTTGAATTTTATTTTTTTTTACTTTCATACCCTTGCGAAAGTACTTTTTTAAAATTGTTACATTAAAAATTTTAATTCCTTCTTAATCCCTCCTAAATTGAAGATTTTTTTTAGAGTGACATTTTTCTATTTCCATCTATTTTCTCGTTTGGCGTATCAATGTATTTTTAGCATGCTTCTCCCTCATGTTGCCAGATATTGTGTTAAAAAATTGCGTTGCTATTAAACGGTATTCGAAAACTATTGAATCCTATCTCGAACTCTTAGGCGGAATGTGAATATTTTTTCCCTCTCACAAAAATATGTCATGGAGATACGTCACTTTGGAAATAACTCTTCAAATATGGCGAGAATATGTGAACATAACTCAAAATAGCGATTGTTTCCCTTATAAAATTTTGGCAAATGGAAATAACTGACCCCCCTACTACTTTCACATCAAGAATTTCACTTTAAATTTGATCTTGTAAATCGAGGAACAATTAGTTCAATGTCATTTGAAATGTATATAACCATGATTGTTATGATTTGCTGATTCTGATACCTGGCGAATATTGTTCCTCCGAGGTGATTTGTAATTATAGATATTTGTGTTACATATTCTCACAAACCCGTACGTTAGTTTTGAGTAAGATAGTTTTCCACCATTTCTGTCATTCAGAATAGAAAAGAGTAAAATTCTAATTAGTTGATTTTTATGAAACTTATACATTAGTAATTAAAAATGTCAATTAAAATTTAAAATAACTTATTTTATAATGTGGCGGCTTTTCATGATAATTTTCAGTCAGGGTTCGGCCAATGTACACTGTATTGTTAGCGTATTTCTCCCCTTCCGACATCCACGAAAAAAGAGAAGTAGCATGTTCTAAATATACGACTGTTGTGCTTGCTAATAAAAGTTCACATTTGTCTCTCCCCATTAATTTATTGCGGGTTGCCAATTTTCATCTTCGCATAATCGAAAACGCCGTCTCCGTGCGATGACGGCCACTGCCGTGGAGAAAATCGGTGGCTCTCAAGCTGTGCGCCATTAGGGACTCATTGAAGTATATTAGACGAGTAATATTATATTGTATCTAATATTTTTATTACTTGTATTGGTGTTATTGAATAAAGTCTGCGATGTACACGTAGGCTTCCGCGGCTTGAGTTCATGACTTCTAGGCTGTCCGGGTTTCGCGGCGTCGTTGGCTGAGAGGCCGACTTTTCGCCTGTCATATCGCAGGCTTCCTGAAGTCAAGTCTCCGATGTCAAAGTTGCAAATGTCTTGATCGAACGCCATATATAAAATCTTATAGAATGACTACTGACATTTAATATAATGAAACGGCATCTTCACGAGTACTTATAAAGGATGATAATTATGTATTGCTTGCAGCATAATGTGTCCTTCATGCGAACACCAAGACTCACTTTAAGAGGTCGTTAAAAAAAATTCCCCTCTGCAACGAACGACTTAGATGGCTCAGAGCTAGCATTAACTTTGTCTCTGCGGCTCCGAATGGAAGATCCTAGAGTTAAGGCCCATTCACAATGCAAACGTAAACATAAGCATTACGCATAGACGTTACATAAAAGTAAGCAAAATAATACTTTCTCTTGGCTGTGAGACATTCTATTAGTTGGATGTGAGAATCGATTTCGAGGTATCGACTGTGTCCCTGGCCCATATGGCGTTAGTTCGTCTATCGACTTCGCTACACACACACACGCACACGCACACGCACACGCGCACGCACACACACACACACACACACACACACACACACACACACACACTTACAGTCTAATCTTACACGAATACGACCTGAAATAAATCGGTTTTTAAAACTATAGCGCTACAGTTTATAAGGATTTTTAAGGACAGAGCGCCTTCGATACGTTCTTGACAATAAAAGCTCCAGAGTGCGAATGCGCGAATCAACAAGTCTGGTTGGGTGTTAACGCATTTATTGCACTCTCCCAGACTGCATGCTAGCACAATCAATCGGAAACAGTTTCAACTAACACCATAGCCACTATTTGGCCATTTTACCTTCACTGGCCATATTTGCATCACTTACCTTATTTAATAAATTACACTATCAGGCCGCAACAAAGAACGCCTAGCTCCACGAGACAGTTGTGTGTGGTTTAAACTGAATTTTAGTCCATTATCACAATAGAACACTGAATTCTTCTCAATCCCCCACGTTTGCAAATGCAATTCACAAAGCTGGAAGTAACTTAGCAACTTACTTTTTCTTCTCTTTTTCTCATAATTCCCTCTCAGGGGACACCGCTCTTATTCGCCATGATTCTCACTATTGTCAACAACAGACCACCAGACAACCACATAACAACAACTTCAAAATTACGGTGTCCGATTCAACGAACACAACTGGATCACCTTATCTCGAACGAGTTCGCCTTCTTTAGCCGCCATATTGACTTCGAAAAACAGCATGCCTTGTATGTAGATGGTGCTGGATGAACACAACCACTGAGATCAAGCGTTCACTACACTAACGGGTCTAACGAGCCTATCAGTGACTGGAAATATCAATCAATAATAAAATATAAATTAATCAACAGAAAAATATCTTATTTTTCATTAGTTCTAGATAAATTAGTACTCGTACTAGTAGCAGATACCGCCATGTTTTTTTTTAATTTCATGCAGTTTATTTTAAAAAATTATCAGATATTGATATCAGATATCAGATTGACTTCACCCCTCATAATTTACTAAAGAATAATGACCCTTTTTTCCAAAAAGAATTTCTTCTTGAAATTCCGTCTGCTTGGACTTCATGGACACATTTCTTTGTAATGTACTGGAATCAGTAACTGGTATTTTTAAAGAAAATAAATGGAGTAAAATTAGTTTTCCCATGTTGTGGTCTTCATTTTTCACAAATCGTGTTTCATGTGTAAATTTTCCCATGTTCTTAGGGCAACACTTGTGCTGGGCTTCCTTCCGCAGGAGTTGCATGGCACCTCAATGTATGAATATTATCACCATGAAGATATCTCATTATTGGCCGAAGCTCATAAAGTGGCGCTGCAGGGATCTGAACGTGTCATCACACAGGTACCTTGTTCTCCAGGCAATAGCATATATCAAATAACAAATATTAATTGATTCGCTGTTTATTTCTTCTTAAAAAATCCTTGGAATTTGATTTCAATAGTGAATTATTTAATAATTTATTTTCAAAAATTGAAAATACTACAAGTGTTTTTTGGAAGGGAGAAATGCTCCGTGTAGTGTTCAAAAGGAAAGAAAAGGACCATCCCAAAATTAGCTGAGTGAATCACTCAACAAAAAAACTTTTAAGATGAAGTCGTTTACCTGGAAGCTATATATAATAGTTCTAATAGGCGTATCCAGACTTATACATTATGCAAAGATTCAACAGATAACAAATGCGTTGATATAATTATTATAAAATAGATATAATTTTAATTTTTGATTTTCAGTATATGTATGTAATTGTATAAAAGTACCAGCAAAAAAGATTTTTCTTAGCATATGAACTTACAATATCCAATTTTACTTTCTCGCCTACGTACGTATATATACGGATAATTACACGTAGTCCAAAGGAACGTATGTAATGCTGCGGCAAAAAACAGCGATTTTTCGAAAGAATAACTCGCATTGTGCGGGGCCCTGATACAGAAAAAGTCAACAAATCCAATATGTCGTCAAATACTCCCTCTAACAGGTTTTGTAGTCACATTTCACAAATAGTGAGCCCAAATAGTGATACTGTTCGAATAGAAGAAGTGTTATTTTTTCGAAAAACGGTCCGTCCGTGCCGTTCCGTCCGTCCGTCCGCCATCATCGCATTCCATCCATTGTCCATCCATCCATCCATCATCCATCGCCCCGTAGTACTGTCACTAGCTCTTAAACCACACGTAGGTTTTTCCAAAATGAGTATTCTCCGGTCGATCTGGCTCGACTCGAAGCTTTGCGATTTTGAAAAACATTCTTTAAAATTTTGGGGTACTTTACATAACGTCCCACGGACATTTTCGAAAATTTCTCAAATATTACTCCCATTTTTTCTTTAAATTGTCTGAAAAAAAAAGAGTAAAATATACTTATGAAGACGGCATATGTTCGTTTTTCACTGTTAACTCAGAATTTTCGGAAATTTCAAAAGTTTGAAATTTTTTCGGCTTATTTCGACTATTCCAAAATTGAAGATAAAAATGTTTCCTTCAAGTATTTTTATTCTCTCCATAGTTAGTTCTTTAATTAAAGTCAGGTACAGTTTTTTGAAACTTTTAGTAGTTTTCACACATTATTGCGTCGAATTTGTACAATTAAAAAAAAAAAGAAGATTTTCTCGAAATCTGCTCCAATTTTTTTTCTTTAAACTTTGGATATGAATAGTGTTAAACCTTTTGATTTATTCTTTTGTTTTTCAAAACTTACAAAAATGTACTTTGTTTAGTTGTCTCTCACTATGTTAATATGTATATTAGCAGAGATTTGTTAACATTATTGCATTTATGAGCACATATGCTTTAAATAATGTCTTATAAAGTTTCTTGAATACTCAAAAGCCTTTTGCAATAATTAATTCCAAATTCCGCATTGTCAGAAACTCTCAAATGCCATTTTATCAAAGACGGCTCAACATTTTTTCTTCGAACTTTTCGTACTGATAGTGCTAATTGTACTGTTTAATATAATATAAAATTATTTTTCCTATATTCTTTTGTTGTTTTTCAAATCACACCAATGTATTTTTTTAAAAATCTCTCACTGTTAATAAGCACATTTTCAGCAATTTGTAAATATTATTGTATTTGTGAGTGGCAGTGCTTTCAAATGGCTTCCAGTAAATTTTCTCGAATACTCAAAAGTTTTCTGTGTAAAAGAACTTAAAATTTCACATTTACAGTAATACTCAAAAGACCTTTTCTTAAAAATGGCTCCAAATTTTTCAACAAAAATGTCTACTTAAGATGAGGTTTTACTCTTCTTTAATATTCTTAAAGTAATATCCTGGTTCTACCATTAGGAAACCAAAAAATTGGGAAATTAAAAAAAAAAAAATGTACTTTGTAGATGGCAGCTGACATGATGATTGGGCAAGATTGAAAACTAGTCCAGACTAATGAAGTTAGTCTAATGAAATTAGAAAACTAACAAATACTAGAAAGTCTATGTCATTCTGTATCACTACTAGTTTGTTTCTTGTTTACTGACTATTCTGAGAATGATTGAATAAATATGTTTCATATAGGTCATTGTAAAATCGTTAATTTTTATGAGAGTAGATAATGAAAATAAAATGCTCTGAAATCTTTATTGTCTCAATCATCCCTTACTTTTAGGTCTTCCAATGAAGCTTGAATATTTCTTATTGCATTCTTAAAAATGTTTGTTTTGTTTCATTTTGGGTTTTCATGATGAAAATACTATTTATTGAATTTGTTATTCAAATTAATTTTAAAGAAACTGTATATTTTGAAAATGAAGTTACTATTATTTGTTTTCTTATGTCTAGTTTTTAAAATTTTTGGAAATAATGCAATTCAAAAATAAAAAAATCCTGTTTCTTTTACACAAAACAATTTTTTTTATACTTTTCGTAATTTCTGTTTTAAGTAGATAATATAAAATTCGGTCAATAGAAAGTAGTATTAAATTCTTAATTTGATATATATCAGCTTGTAAGTAATATTCTTAATTATTATGGATAATAATGTATTTTTCATTTTTAAATTTACTTACTTTCAAAAAATTTCTTATGTGGGCTATCTTATGAATATTCTTTCATATACCACAATTGGTAGTAGGAATATTATCTATAGAAAATTTTGTATTAATTTCTGTGGTCTTTTGACTTACGGTGTTGATCCTTAATCACAGGGAAAGAGGTGATCTTTGTTTTTTAATTTTTAACATATTTCTAATTCCTAGTCCTGTAAATTGTAAGTGCAATTTAAACCTATGTAGTAATGTTTACTTTCAGGTATACAGGTTTCGCAGCAAGGATGGTTCCTTTGTGCGGTTACAGAGTGAATGGAAATCCTTCCGAAACCCATGGACAAAGGATGTAGAATACTTAGTAGCTAAGAATTCTCTTGTTTTGTGAGTACAAGTAGTATTTTCATGTTTGTTTCAAGTCCATAAAAGCAGCCAGTAGTAATAACAATCATAGATTTAAATTTTGTCAAATTATGACATGATTCACAAATGCATAGGCATGCCAATTAGTATATATACAGTCTCTTTAGAAAGAAGAATTATTGGAGAAGAATCATGATTTTTTACCAACGCGTGAATATATTAATTAAGTCGGCAATTTCATTTGAGTTACTTACTAACTGTGTTTGTTTGTTCCTTAGGACGGAGCATGTGGCAGAAAGCACCCTTTTGAGACCTGAATGTACCTCACACACAAGCTTCGACTACTTCTCACAGTGTGAGTTACGAAGCCCAGCAATGCAGGGCAGGCAAGGTTGGCTTGCAGGCAAGTACTTGGAGTTCTGTTACTGTTGTAACTTTGATGTAATAATTACAGCCATAAGTTTTAATTGGATGAACAGTTCTCGATGATTTGGTTTATTTTAGAACAGTTTATTTTCACAATTTTCCTTATTTCATCATTCAAATTTTGCCTGCTATATCAGTGATTTGTCCTTTACCATTGTCTAATTTCTACCCATGATAGAACTAAGGAATTCGCTTTTATGAACAAATTTTATTGCAAGGACAAGGAAAGTTGTGAAGAATGAAGTCGAGAAGCAATTCAGCTGTACTCTGTTGCAGATAGGGGAATATATTTTATTCAAAAGTAAAAACATTCATCTATATGAACAGTTATTCTTTACCACTGAAACGAGAACAATAATTTAGAAAAACACTTTATGAAGAAAGTGAAACTGAAACCTAAATAAAAATCATATATTTCTACGTTGAAAGAAAAGCAGTCTTTTTAACCCCCAATGTTGTAGTTGGTTAATAGTAGATGTTCTTTTAAGTTCCTCAAAAGCATTTGAAGGTGTAGAGTCATGACTTTTATTTTATATTAAGTGAAAGTGTAGTTCCCTTATTACTGTAGTAGGGTTCATAGAATTTCTGGTCCTTACAATATAGTCTGCTCTTAATTTATATACACTAAAGATTAGGAACTTGCAAAAGAGAAGAATAGAGAAGACAAAAAACTTTAAAAGATAATGCTATTTGAGGAATATCTTTAGTTCTGTACTTATATACAATTATTATATGATTTTTGTGAAGCAACATGAAGTATAGTACACCAGGAAAGTCTCTCCAAAGTGGTCCGAGTCAGGGCCTCCTATTAAAAATGGCATTTATATTGGTAGCAAACAGATCGCTGGGAAACAAATGAAGGGCATAACACTTCCATAATTTTTGTTGCAAGCACCAAGGTGCCATTGCAGAGAGACATTCCTGGCATGTGTGTTGATATTAAATATCAACATACATTGCAGTCATATTTATTTTTATTCGCTTGCTTTGCAAGAAGTTTTTCTGGTCATTGTGGCCAACTATGGATAACATTATTTCAACTGTTTTTCCCCTTGGCCTTTCACAATCACCCAGTACTGTTGGGTATATTTCCATTGTTACTGCTTCCTTTCCTCAGGTCATGCTCATGGCTTGTTTTATATTTGGTTTGATTTTGAAACCCCAGTATGCTTTATTTTGAGCTTAAGACAGTAATGTGACCAAGAATCATCAGATATAGACTTTAATGTCTCCTTCTACCTCAGCAGATTAGGCTCCTTTGGTTTGATGAAGTTTATTTATGTTTGAACCAACCTTTGAAAGTAACATTTGTTTACTTTACTTAGTTATTTGTTAATGTTAAGCAATGAGATTATACAAAGTGAAATTGAAATTAAATTTTCTTCAGCATAGAATTTTGGATTCAAAATATTTTTGCTGTTGGAAGAATCCTATGAGATGCTCAATGATTCACTTAAGGCAATGTAAACGTGACTTTAAAACAGCAACATTCGTGCATTCAAATGACTAATGATGGGCTCATTTGCTGTCATCTATTTATATTTTGCTCACAGAACTACTTTAAGTAATTGGTACTCCATGGAGTTTAATTTTGCATTTTACATTATTCATAAAATTCATAAATGAATGAAAATAAAGAAATTTATTTTTATTTTTTCATTCATTTATTCATGCTGCTGTTGTCACAGTATTCAGAAGGCTCCCAAGGTTTCGGCATTTTATAACTGTTGTGACTTTGAAAGAATGCCTCTTAAGGTTCACAGTATCTGAATGCAAAGAATAAGTTGTTTTACTGAGTGACTGGTTACATTTGTCCTCATCCAAAGGGAGTGGGGGGCCATGCCTCTCTCCCCCAATAGGCCTAGAGTTTTCGTTTAAATTCCATTATTTGACAAAATTGATTTAAATATTCATTTATATTCTAATTATGTAATTGTTTAATCAATAATATTGTATAGTATTATATCTACAGTACATGAATTATATACAATATAGTGACAAATATGTTTATTATTGAACAAAAATCTACGATCCCCCCCCCCAATGAATCCACCCCTGCATTTCTTCATGAAAGTCATATACATTTACTTTCATCTTTCTTTTCCTTTTTGTTTCATTTGTTTTGAGTTATTCTTTGTTCATCCTTCTTTGAACAATTTTTATTTATACATTATCTTTACTTATGAATTTACATAGTAAGCAATATTTTGAATCATTTCCATTTAATTGTAAAGATTTACATTACTACATTTTTAATTGATCATTTTTCTTGTAACAGATCCAACAGTGCGAGATGACATGAGTAGTGGTTCCATGGCAGCTGTGGCAGCAGCAAATGGGGGCCGAGATATTCAATGCCTCATCAAAACACATGTTGAGGCAAGTAAAATTGGTCGCCAAATTGCCGAGGCTGTTTTAGACACTCAACGACGGGGCAGTGACTCCTCATCAGGTGTAGGTAGTCCTTCACCTGGGGCAGATACATTTTTTGGAGTGCAACCACTGTCCAATCTGGAGGTGAGTTTTGATATTGCCTAATTGGCAAGGAGAAAAAAATGTCATAGTCTATTAGAAATGCTACTTCCATTTAGTGCTAGGGAGGGGAGGGAAAAAACAACAACAAAAAACAAACATGTAGGTAATGGATTTTCATAAAACATTTGCACCTCAAAATCTCAAATTGAACCCCCCGGGTGGAGTTGTAGTTAAAACGGAGGTTGTTCAATAAGTTACTTGGTTCGCATACTAAGAGATGACAAAAGCAACTTATGTGAATTTTAATTTAAAGCTACAACAACATACGGTAAAATTTCATTGTTGCAAGCCATTATCACTCTAGCTCATTGTTGGACAGCGACTTGAACAAAAGCGTTTGAGAGTCAGTGTGAAAAATGGATAGAACTGGAATTCCTGGTGCTATCCAATTCTTTTTTATGGAAGGCAAAAACGCAAAAGAAATCAATGAAAGGATAGCGCCTAGATTGGGTGATTCATGCCCTTTGTGTGAGAGTGAAACTTAGGGTCAACGAATTTAAGCAAGGCAGGATAAGCATCGAAGATGCCCCAAGACCTGGGGCTCCAAAACAAGCTGTGACGCCAGAAAACATTGACAAAATCCATGATATTGTTTTAGCAGACATACGAGTGAAAGTGTGCAAGTTAGCAGAGGCCACAGGTATCTCAAACAACTGAGTGCATTTTATTTTGCATCATGAATTGAGCATGAATAAGCTTTGCGTATGATGGGTGCCATGATTGCTGACTGCAGAGATGAAACGAAATTGCATGAGAACATCTGTCAAGTCTTTGCAGCTATTATGCAGGATTCGCTATTACAGTCCAGATAAAAAGCAGCAGTGAAAACAAAGGATTGCAAGAGGAGAACCAGGCTCCAAAGAAGGTGAAATGCATTCCATCAGTAGGGAAGGTGATGGCGTCTGTCTTTTGGGATGCTAGTGGTATTCTTCTTATGGACTATCTGGAAAAGGGAAAAACATCACTGGAAAATACTATGCATCACTTCTGAACAAACTCAAGGCAGCTGTCGTGGATGAATGTCCTGGAATGGCAAGAAAAAAAAGTGTTGTTCCTAATATGCCCCTCATATTTTGATACAACTGATCTTTAGTTGAAAAAAGGAAATGAAGTATCTCAGAAGTTCATTGTTCAAGTCTGGTAAATAAAGATGAGTAAAATCAAGAAAATGATGTCTCATAAAACTATAAAAATACTTTTCAAACTTATCAAAGTAAAATAAAACAAGGAATAAAAGTAGGAAATGAAAAACTGGTAGATTGAAAATTTATGGGTAAGAAGGATATTGAAGTATGAATACTTGGTCCTGATGATGGATTGTCAGATGAGTGAAATAGACAGAACAAATTTGTATCATTCATTATTTATAAATTATATATCTTTAAAGATTATTTTATAGAGTAGAGGCTGCTATTTAGATAAAATAATGAAATTTTTACTTTTGTGATGAAAAGTTGATGCATTTGTGAAATGGTGCATTTCAAAAAGATATTATTGTTCACAATTAATGGAGCCAATATCAATTCTTACTTAAGAATGACACACTATTTAACATCTCTCACCCAGCAAAGTGAAATTACATTCACCCAGTAGACTCTATCCTCCTTTCATGCACATTCTGCAGGCTTGCTACAGTTGCAATCTTAAGTCTAAACATTGTTTTATGATAATGAACTTGATGCTATATTTCTTTTATTACGATTGTTTCTCTTAGTTTTTGATTTTTAAATAAAACATTATCATTTATTTTCTCACATAATATGAAATATTTTACTTCTTGCTCATGTTTTCATTCTGGTTGAATTTTGAACATTCAAGATGTTAAGAAATTTGAGTTTTTGAGGTTCAAATTACTGAAGTTCCTTTAGTGTTTCAAAGCTATGACCTACCACCATTTTCAATGTATTTTCCAACCAACATTAGGCACATGTAATACTAACATGAGAATCATTCAAACTCTGTCATTGATGAAGTATGCATAATAAATGATTTATGCAACAAGACTACTTCTCACTTTGAATATAAACCTGAGTTGTTTTAAGAGTGTTTATTCTCAGGTAGCTAGTTGACATAAAAATTCACATCGATATACATAAAATAAATAATTATTGTGTTGGAATAATCACTTCAAACTTCAATCTGCAAAAAGTGTTGGCTTTGAGTTAGTCATTTCTTTGCATTGCTGACAAATCATCTGATTTTGTATATGATGTAACATTCATTTATGACATAACATTAATTTATGAGATAGGGCAATCCTGAAAACTTCTTTTCTTCATTGCGAGGGCAATGGTTGCAGTTCAGCTTATTATAGTTTGTATAGTTCCCAGTTTGTTAACAGGGAGGCGGACTGCCCATGAGTTTACATCCTCTGCCTCAGAGCAAATAGATCATTTAACCATGTGTATGATTAATTTTCTGTCATTCATTAAACATTGAAAATTCACTGAAATATGTCACATTTCACAGTCTTATTCAAAACATTTTAATATGTTACATTACTGCTGAAAATTTACTTCTTTCCCAATATTTCGATAGGTGTAATAAGATGGAATGATGACTTTAACTTGGTAATAACTTAGTCCCAATATTCTCTGCTAGTGGACGTTGATGTACTTGCATTATTTACATATAAATTAACAAACAAGAGGGATCCAAGATAGAGGCAGACCTCTAAGGAAGTGTCAACAGCAGGAACACTTGGAAGACTAATTATATCACAAACCATACCAAGAATAATGTAATAAACCAAAAGAAACAGGCTGTAAAGCCTAATTTCTGATCAGTTCATGATAATGATGAAGTCATAAATTAGACCAATAGGACTTCAAAGATTTATTATACTTTCATATCTCCATTTCACAATCTGTGCTATAAATTGTCCTTCTTTGTAAAACTGTAGCTCAACAGCCATAAGATATAATATTTATAATTCCTCAAATTTTAATTAACCAAGTTTTTATTTGTTTATTTTATCATATTTATTTTTATTACCTTATACCAATTTTTGCAGTAATATTTAAAAATATTAATGTTTTCAGCCTCAGATCTCTACTAGTGCTGTTATGGGTGATCGTCAGCAACCTAACCGTTTTATGATGCTGAGACCTAATCATAATAACAACAATCCATCTAGTTTCAACAATATTCGTAATAATGTTCAACTGTCTGGGGCCAGTGATCCAGGTTAGTATGTAGTATTAGGTTCTTTTGTTTTTTATTAATTATAAATATGAGTTCAAAAACAATGACAAAATATTTAGTACTAAATTGCAAAATTTTAGGAAATGCTAAATTTTTATTCTTTGTGATGTCAGTATAAATATGTAATGGTATTAGTACTTGTAGGGTGTCTGATGTATCCACTTGTATCAGCAAATTTATCATTCAAATTTGTATGGGGAAAATGGAGAAAAGGAAAAAAATCACACACAATTATCACATATGTTATCTCTAGGGGTGGATTGTTGTGAAATGTCATTTTTCCTTTTCACTTTGGAATTTTTAACATAGACATTAATTTTATGTTATGACAAAAGGAAATGGAAGTTCTTATCATCAAAAAAGAAAGTGGTAATACTAAATTTAATAATGATATTTAATGTATTAGTTATCGTTTGAACTGCATAATTCTAACCAAAGTATTGAACCTCATCTTCGGGGTCAATGACCCCCTTCTCAATCAGATTTTCTGTCCAGTTTCCTTGATCCTTAAAACAAATGTGGAATGGCCCCTTGTTTTGCTTCAGGAAATCAATCTGTTCTAAAAAAAGTGGACATTATTAGAGGTAATGGCTTAATTGAGGTGGCTGTTAGACACTTTCCCCATTCTTCTGATGTCTGACAAAGTAATTTTGCAATGTGTCATTGCATGGAATCAACCAGCTGGCCTCCTGCAAAGACCATTTCACAAACCTCCCTTATTACAGAAAGAGAGGCAGTTCAAAGTGGCTTTTCTTCCAGTTTTCTGAGACTTTAAACATGCAACTTAGTATTAAAAGAAGCAACAGCAATGTCTGTTATGTGTTAGATTAATATTCGTATGTTATTTATCAATAATACATATTAATTTTAATGGCAAAGAAATGTGTACAAAAACTAATAAAAAGTATTAAACATGATGGCCAAAAGTGTAAATTAAATGGAAAAATATATAAGCGTGTATTAACAATGAATTTCTCCCAAAATTTGTGTAAGAGCTGTAGTAAACTTACATTTGCATGGATATCTAACCTCTAATTAGCACTAAAACTTTTTTTGTGGAGGGAGGGGAAGAAAGAAAATTAATAACAGTCATACTATAATAACAATAGTTTACCACCAAAACACTCGCATGTGGACACTTGGCTTTCTCCTACATCTGTGTCAAGGGTTAGTAGCTCATGTTTTTTTGAATTTGTGAAAATACAGATTTTTTTTAACTTTCTATTTCGATTTTAGAAGATTTGTAATAAGTTAACATTATTTACTAGGCTGTCCGGGTAACATGGCGTAGGTGTCCATGGCGAAGGTACCTTCAGACAAATGAAAATACTTGTTTGGCTAGACTCTTAAGACATATTTCAATTTGAGCCTTTTTGTACAAATGTGAGGACATAGTTGGAACAGAGAGTGATATTTGATATAAAGAATACCTTTATTTTGCATAAAATTATTTGGTTTAAAATTTATCTTGGATAAAATTTCAGCATTTTTTTTTTGTAAAGTGAAATGAATTAGAGCTACAAAATATGCTTCATTGGAGAAATAATTCTTTAATGAAAATTTCATTCAATGTGTTTTTCAAATATAAATTCAGTGTTACCCAGTTCGATTTCGTTCTATAGGTGTGGAAGCTGATGATATGATGGAGATGATTGGAGGGTCTATTCTTCCTGATTCACCTCATCCCTAGTTGGCTTCTAATGATGGAACGATGAGGCTGCTATGGCTGTTATCATGAGCCTACTGGAAGCTGATGCAGGTTTAGGTGTCCTGTGGATTTCTTGGATTACCATGGCCTTTCGCCTAACACCTTATTCATATTACTGAAGTGCATCAAAGAGGTGGGGTGAGTGAACACTAGTGTCACGTCTTGTCAAGTCAAAAGTGAAAGTGACTGGCCAGTAACGCAATTTTCTGTGATTGTTGTATCCTTCTCAATAGTGAGTTGTCCAGGTACCTAATACAAGCATGACCTCTTGATATATTTTGATGTTAATATAAGAAAACATTCAAGTGTCTGTTGTAATGAGGGCATTTTAGTTCAGTGTCTCGTATGGTTATGAAAGCAATGTCAATGAGAAAAGTTATGATGTCTGTCTCTCCCTTGTGAAAATGCACAATGTGGCAATTTGTTGTCTTTATGAGATTCATCTTAGACATGGGTTAGGCTGAATACATATCAGAAATTCTGAAGAAAGCACAAGGTAATCAGCATAGAGGCCTTATTTGTGCAAAAGGGCAGTGTACAACAACTCTGACCAATTTAATTTTTTATGATGTACGTAGTTGTGCAGAGAGAAATATATTTGAAAATAAAATATATTCTCATATACATTTTTAACAAACCCTGTAGTTCACCAGCCATAATAAATCGGCTATACGAAGAAACATTATGAGCAACAGATTTTTTAATATATTTTACAGTTTTGTGGTGCAGCATTCTTCTAAGTGGGAGAAAATATTTATAGTTAGTAATTACAAAAATGTTGTGCTGTATGTCTTTGATATGATTTGCAGCACTGTGTGTGCCATGTGATGTTTATAAAATGATGGAAACACATTGAATACTCCTTTGAAGAGAGGTGAAGTTATTTTCATGACAGTGTATTATTAAAAATGCATTAGTTGAGAAAACAATGCTATATTTCGGTTTCAGAATGGTCAGTTTTATAGTGAGTTAGAAAATGGAGCATAAATTATTTCAACTGCAAGTGAAAATAGCAAAATAAACTTATTTGAAGCGAGTAAACTATTTACATCATGAAAATGGCAGGACATAACTTGTACTTTATACTAGTCAGGCATGCAAATTATGAAATAATGTATATCTCTTTCCAGTACCTTCTTATTTGGAAACATTGCAGAGATTGAATCATTTTGATTCATGAATTGTATCTTTGTTAATAAGTCCACACAAAAATAAATTTTGAGAATATTAAAAGAATACTTTATTTTGCTCAAAGATGATACATGTGTGTTTGTGATCCTTCAAATTTTCCCTCCTTTTTTTTCCAGTTTTTCTATTTCTCTTCATTAAACATTTTTGTAAGAGCAGTTTGATTGTAAGTATTTTTATCATTTAACACTTTTTGTTTCATATTTATTAAAATAATTTAGTTAGTTGTATTGAAAACAAAATAAAGGCTTAACCCACTTTTAACCTGTATTTCTTAGGGGAAATTTATTTACATATTTTATAAAATGAGAAACCATATTTGATTGAAAATAATTTCTTTAAACAGTTCTCAGCTAATATAATATTAATACATGAAGCTAAGATGATCTATGAGTATTTGTTCTAGCATAACACGGCAACACAATTTTAAACAAATTTTGTTCTTATATCACCTGACATGAATTATGTCAGCGGAGAAAAAATGTGGGTTCACGTTTCAAAATTTATAATTTCCCCCCTTCCAAAATCAGTTTGAATACACCCTGTAATGCACAGGGTTGCAGAGGAGTGGTGTGAGCAGTTGATAGTCAGGACGAAGAGATTGTGATGAGGGACAGGGGAGGTTGGCCGAGGAGAGGGGGCGGGGCGATGCGGGATGGAGTAGTGAGGACGGAGTTTGGTGAACGGGAACTGCTCAGAGTTAGCAAACTGGGGTCGTAAATAAGATTTTTTCCAATTTACACCTTTTACAATGGATGATTAATATCGGCACAATGCCGGATTTCTTTGTTTTGTTATATATGAGTACAATAATGACAATGAACATCAGTACAAATGTAGCAAGATTTATCCCCCTTCTTCGAAAAGAAGTTCGTTGTCTTCTAATACTTCACAAAATCAAAATATTTTTTTACAAAAATGGAAATTATAAATTGGTAAAATGCAGCATAATGAATTATCAGCATCAGAAGAGGCGGTCTTAAAAGAGGTCTTAGGTTGACTAATATCGGTGGCCGGGAAGTCGCGGGATTCGGAAATTTGTTTGATGGGTTGAATCAGCTAGTTCGTATTCGCGAATTAGCCATATTAGTTATATTATTGTATGTTTTTATAAATTGTTAGCATTTTCCTGAATTCATAAACGAAAAATTAATATATGAATATTAATTAAATATTAACATGAATTATATAAATGTTAATACAATTAATGTTAATAATATTAATTAAATCTTTTCAAATTGGCAAATGAATAAAATCATGAATTTAAGAATCACAATTAGTTAGAAGTATTAGTTATATTATTTTATGATTTTATAAATTGTTATTTCCACACCACTTGATTGAAGTAGATAACGTTTGGCACCTTTTTTTTTAAGTGGTGTCCCCAATATGCCTATATCCACTTTGTAAAATACAAATAAATTACAGTATATTTGAGAATGAATAATAATATAATAACATATCAGTAAAACATACACGATTCAATTATTTTTATGAAGTATATTCATCATTTTGAGGGCTTAAAATGTTATTATTGCATAATAAATTTATCGCGATATCCTCTTTTTCTTGTGCAGTGGGTACAACTATAGAGGAAGTAGTTGGTTTTCTCTGTTATTTTTTTGTCGAGACAAACCTTCTTTGAGGTTCAAATTTCATACGTTTTGTTGGTGGTTCTCCTATGATTTGGCTCAAAAGGATATTTTTCTGAGTGTTTAAACTTTGACTCATAGTAAAATGCGTTTTTGTTTATCTTCCAAAAGTACTCAAAATATATTATAGTAAAATTTCCTACATTGTTCTCTCAATGTAAGTATTCATTTATAAGATCATTTGCCATGTCTGTTTAAATAGATTATGTAAACAAAAATGACTGAATTTTCTGTATTTTTTGTTGAAAAATAATACTTAATTAGTATTAGTATATTATTACTCATAATCATAAAAATTACATATATATGAACTATACATACTATTTACATATCGTTAATACAATAATATTTTAAGCCCTCAAAATTATGAATATACTTCGTAAAAGTAATTCTTATTTTTAGACATTTTGTGTTTCATCATGTACGTTTTACTGATGCATTATTATATTACTATTTATTATCAAATATATTAATTTATTTGTTAATTAATTAATTAATTAATTAATTAATTAATTAATTTACATAATGGATGTTCATTACTTTATTCATTTGCCCATTCATTACTATATTCTTTTATTCTATATTCTTACTTTATTCTTTTGCCCATTTCAAAATAGTGTTTAATAATAGTGTTTTCCATCAAATATGTTTTGTGGTCATAAGTCTGTTTCAAATTTAAGTTTGAAATTTCCCGCCATGCGACTCACGGACAGCGACTCGGCTGTCTTCGCGTACAATCGTGGCTCCGCAATTTGCTCTCCCGAGACACAAGTAACCGCTCGCCGAATCCCGAGTAGTGTGGACGAGTTGCTCGCTATTCTCCGAGCTCCGAACATTCGGTATTCGCCCCCCTACCCACCGCGTGTCGGTCTTCATGACATATCAAAAGGGAGCGAACATTCGCCGAGCACATCGCTGCTCGAGATTGGGCGAACAGTCGCTTCGACTTGGCGAATGCCGAATGTGTGGAGCGCTTCAACTTCTTGAGTATTGCGGCAGTGCGCAGAATGCGCACTATCTATGTTCTGTGCACAGTTCGAGTTTCGCATCACTTTTGTGCATTTCGTTTGCACAAAAGGACGAGATTGCAGTCGATTGCTGTAAGCTTAGCCGCACAAAAAATCCCTAGCGACACCAGCACCGAGTTCGTAGATCATTCACGCTGATCGATATGTTTACCGATCGCTTCCGGGCGAGTTCATGTTATTTTACGAAATGTACTAACAAAATTGTGTTCGATTAACTTTAGTTTATCGATATTCAGCAGCAGTCAAATTGTGATCACATCACTATTCGAATTAAACCGCTCTTTCAAGACTTCTGGTGGTAAAGAAACAGCAATATGAAACAATATCATAAAACCAGTAGCGTATGATGGATTTCGAGCACGGGAATTTCCAGGACTTTAAGGATGTGGCGAAAATGACAGTAAAAGTATATTCTTAACAATCGTAAAGCTATGATGATGCAGTACGTGTTTCTAATGAAGATATATACGATAGTGAAAGAAGGTAGATCATTTGAAAAGAACGGAAAAGCTGGACTTTTCAGTAGAAAGGTAATGTCATCGAATCCATTTAAATGAATTGAACACTAAATTAAGTTTTTTATGCTACGCTTTCAGAATTCTTTCAAATTCAGTCAGCCTACACACTACTCGTATATATTTCGCGAATGTTTATTCCCGCCTGAGATATGGCATAATATTCTGGGGAAATACATCTCTTAGTTCCCAGACTTTTAGATTACAAAATGAATTGTACGAATAATAGGTAAATCCCACCCATGTGATTCTTGTAAGCCTCTCTTTAACCATCTAGGTATTTTACCATTACCTTGTATCTTCATATATGAACCACTGGTTTTTGTCAAAAATGACTTACTTAAGGGCGGGAATATATTTTCAGCAAACGCCGCTGTCTATAACTACAACACTCGACGAAGTAATCATATTCATCATGTGACAGTATCAACAGATCACTACAAAAAATTCACGTATAATACATGTACATTATGTTACTTCTTGCTAGATGACATTAAACGATTAAATTCGATTCAAAAGTTAAAGTCCTAAGTAAAATCTTTTCTGCTGCACAACTTTTTCTGTACAATTAGAGACTATAACGACCATCCAAAAGGAAAGTAAGTATGTAATGGTTACAATGGACATGGTTAATGTATTTTATACCATTTGGATTGTATAATTGTAAAGAAACTGTAACAAGTTTTGTACTTTAGCGTCTGGGTCAATGACCTCTATTCGATCAGGTTTTCGTCAGATTCCCGATCTCGAGCAAATGCTGAAGATGGAGCCCTTGTTTTGCTTCTGGACATAATGTAACTATCAAATTAACTTCTCCCCATAGCACATCATACACAGTTTTTAACTGTTTTTGACTCTTTTGAACTCTTTCTTCATATTCATTTCGCATATTGAAATTTTACAAAGTTAACAAAGGGGTCTTCTCCTTCTCATAGTCTTATTCGGCGAATTGATAAACACAAACACTGTCAAATTAAATTTTAACGCACGCGAATTAAACGTTAAAGGTTACTAACCCAGTCTAAAACCATCGATGTTGATAAACATGGATGGTTTTTGGTCGATGTATTTTTATCATCGATGTTTTAATTTTAAACATCGATGTTTTGATATCGACGTCACATCACTACCCTCTACCCGCGCGGTCCCCCGTTTTTGGACATTCTTTCGCCGCCACTCCTGTCTCCCACCACAGTCCAGCGTGCATCAGCGAATTGAAAGCAATACAAATAGTCAATAAAGTCATTTACGCGAGTCTCCAACACCTCCGCCGAAGCACGTACGAAATGCACAAAACAAGCAATTAAAAAGCTATTGAAAAGCTTTCAAGCTAACAAGGCCGTACAAACTTACAAGGCCGTACACGTCGAGCCTCTGCTCGCAACTACAGACCGACGCCCCGGCTGTCGGAGAGGTGTCATTAGCAAAAGGCTGTGCCATTCCCCCGGCGAGCGATCGCGCGGTCGGCCTCACGTCCCCATCGCCCCAATACCTGCTAGATACCTACAAACTTTCTAAAAACGTGCCTCTCGTCAATACTAAAAGCATCTCGCCGACAGTAGACATCTGCAATGCAGATGCGCCCGCGTGGCCGCCCCCACCGTCTCTTAACCGGCGCGCCAGATGCCGCGGTCCCTTGAGAAGCAAACCTCAAATATTACAAATGCCACGTGACGCCCCTCTCCCCGGGCCCGAAGGTGCCAACAAATAGCGAGCAACTATCGCGGGCATCTCACTACTCACTGCACACTTTACACTAGCTGCTAATGTCACGTGACCTTCCCCTCCCTGAACTCGGATACTTCCGCTATGGCCACTTCACTCCCATTAGTATACTGACACACTAACCCAACAACTGTCATCACTATGCATTAGTGAAC